TTCTGTGGATAAAGAATCTTTAAACTTTATGTGAGATGGCTACAACCTAAATTCATATCTCATGAACATTGTGTATGAGTGTAGATAGTGAGGAACTTATTGTACCGCACAGCTCGGATCAAAATATGTAATATCATTGTCAGAACAATTTAATCTTCATTGATTTAGGCACAGATTATCCAAACATTATTATTATTATTATTATTCATATAACATCTGGTTCATTCAACTATATGATTATTTAACTTATGAGTTACAACTTATGAGTTGTAAAAGTTCACTTTTCTTCTTGTCTTCATGGACTGTCAACAAGCACTGCAGAATCTTCTGGGCTGTAGAATATAGAATGTAAAATCCACCTAGAAAATGGAATTATGTCTGTAGATGGCCGGTCACTATGTAGGTCAGTATATAGGTGAAAATTGACCCTTTATGGACGTTACACCACCATGACGATTTTAGTTGCTAAATTTTGGATCCAGAGCAGCAGCAAGTAGGAACATGTTTAGAGATTGAGGGTTCAAAGTGCTCTCAACAATGTCCTCTCAGATTATAACCCCAGGATGGATTTCTTCAGGCTTTGCAGTAGATGTGGAAGTGCAGAGATTGTGATGTATTTTTGTCCACTCAGACACTTTGTAACCATGTTTAAAGTTGCAAGAGTTGGTAAAGCTCATCAATCACGTTCCACTGTTCAGCCACTGAGATACAGAAATTGGAAGTGCAGCAGTCACTGTCAGACATGGCAATAGTACTTACATTATTTACTTAAGTAGAAGTACAAATACCTGTGTAAAATAACTCAGAGTGATCTTCTTTACTTAAGTAAAAAGTAGCGTCTAAAATATAAGCTTTACCTGCAACAGTTTACTGATGTTGTGAACCTGTTCCTGCAACAGTTTGCTGATGTTGTGAACCTGTTCCTGCAACAGTTTACTGATGTTGTGAACCGGTTCCTGCAACAGTTTACTGATGTTGTGAACCTGTTCCTGCAACAGTTTGCTGATGTTGTGAACCTGTTCCTGCAACAGTTTACTGATGTTGTGAACCGGTTCCTGCAACAGTTTACTGATGTTGTGAACCTGTTCCTGCAACAGTTTACTGATGTTGTGAACCTGTTCCTGCATCAGTTTACTGATGTTGTGAACCTGTTCCTGCATCAGTTTACTGATGTTGTGAATCTGTTCCTGCAACAGTTTACTGATGTTGTGAACCTGTTCCTGCATCAGTTTACTGATGTTATGAACCTGTTCCTGCAACAGTTTACTGATGTTGTGAACCTGTTCCTGCAACAGTTTACTGATGTTATGAACCTGTTCCTGCAACAGTTTACTGATGTTGTGAACCTGTTCCTGCATCAGTTTACTGATGTTGTGAACCTGTTCCTGCAACAGTTTACTGATGTTGTGAACCTGTTCCTGCATCAGTTTACTGATGTTGTGAACCGGTTCCTGCAACAGTTTACTGATGTTGTGAACCTGTTCCTGCAACAGTTTACTGATGTTATGAACCTGTTCCTGCAACAGTTTACTGATGTTGTGAACCTGTTCCTGCAACAGTTTACTGATGTTGTGAATCTGTTCCTGCAACAGTTTGCTGATGTTGTGAACCTGTTCCTGCATCAGTTTACTGATGTTGTGAACCGGTTCCTGCAACAGTTTACTGATGTTGTGAACCTGTTCCTGCAACAGTTTACTGATGTTGTGAACCGGTTCCTGCATCAGTTTACTGATGTTGTGAACCTGTTCCTGCAACAGTTTACTGATGTTGTGAACCGGTTCCTGCATCAGTTTACTGATGTTGTGAACCTGTTCCTGCAACAGTTTACTGATGTTGTGAACCTGTTCCTGCAACAGTTTACTGATGTTGTGAACCTGTTCCTGCAACAGTTTACTGATGTTGTGAACCTGTTCCTGCAACAGTTTACTGATGTTGTGAACCTGTTCCTGCAACAGTTTACTGATGTTGTGAATCTGTTCCTGCAACAGTTTACTGATGTTATGAACCTGTTCCTGCATCAGTTTACTGATGTTGTGAACCTGTTCCTGCAACAGTTTACTGATGTTGTGAACCTGTTCCTGCATCAGTTTACTGATGTTGTGAACCTGTTCCTGCAACAGTTTACTGATGTTGTGAACCGGTTCCTGCAACAGTTTACTGATGTTGTGAACCTGTTCCTGCAACAGTTTACTGATGTTGTGAACCTGTTCCTGCAACAGTTTACTGATGTTGTGAATCTGTTCCTGCAACAGTTTACTGATGTTGTGAACCTGTTCCTGCATCAGTTTACTGATGTTGTGAACCGGTTCCTGCAACAGTTTACTGATGTTGTGAACCTGTTCCTGCATCAGTTTACTGATGTTGTGAATCTGTTCCTGCAACAGTTTACTGATGTTGTGAACCTGTTCCTGCATCAGTTTACTGATGTTGTGAACCTGTTCCTGCAACAGTTTACTGATGTTGTGAACCTGTTCCTGCATCAGTTTACTGATGTTGTGAACCGGTTCCTGCAACAGTTTACTGATGTTGTGAACCTGTTCCTGCAACAGTTTACTGATGTTGTGAACCGGTTCCTGCAACAGTTTACTGATGTTGTGAACCTGTTCCTGCAACAGTTTACTGATGTTATGAACCTGTTCCTGCAACAGTTTACTGATGTTGTGAACCTGTTCCTGCAACAGTTTACTGATGTTGTGAACCTGTTCCTGCAACAGTTTACTGATGTTGTGAACCTGTTCCTGCAACAGTTTACTGATGTTGTGAACCTGTTCCTGCAACAGTTTACTGATGTTGTGAACCTGTTCCTGCAACAGTTTACTGATGTTGTGAACCTGTTCCTGCAACAGTTTACTGATGTTGTGAATCTGTTCCTGCAACAGTTTGCTGATGTTGTGAACCGGTTCCTGCAACAGTTTACTGATGTTATGAACCTGTTCCTGCAACAGTTTACTGATGTTGTGAACCTGTTCCTGCAACAGTTTACTGATGTTGTGAACCTGTTCCTGCAACAGTTTACTGATGTTGTGAACCTGTTCCTGCAACAGTTTACTGATGTTGTGAACCTGTTCCTGCATCAGTTTACTGATGTTGTGAATCTGTTCCTGCAACAGTTTACTGATGTTGTGAACCTGTTCCTGCATCAGTTTACTGATGTTGTGAACCGGTTCCTGCAACAGTTTACTGATGTTGTGAACCGGTTCCTGCAACAGTTTACTGATGTTGTGAACCGGTTCCTGCAACAGTTTACTGATGTTGTGAATCTGTTCCTGCAACAGTTTACTGATGTTGTGAACCGGTTCCTGCAACAGTTTACTGATGTTATGAATCTGTTCCTGCATCAGTTTACTGATGTTGTGAATCTGTTCCTGCAACAGTTTACTGATGTTGTGAACCGGTTCCTGCAACAGTTTACTGATGTTGTGAACCGGTTCCTGCATCAGTTTACTGATGTTGTGAACCTGTTCCTGCATCAGTTTACTGATGTTGTGAACCGGTTCAATCATATGGCAAAAATAACATTCTGATTCTGAAAGTGTTTCTATGTAGGGGTCAGGAGTGTTTCAGAAGTGCGATCTTGTTTTTATTGACCTTTTGGACTGTAGCTCTTAGCAATGCATGGAGGAAACTGGCATTAGCTTTTTTTCTATTCCGTCTTCATAAAGTAAAAATGATGAATTGCTTGTTTTTTTCCAGGAACATATGAATGTAGGCTGAAACGTTTGGATGGTTTTGTTTTCAAGCAGCAAGGATACTTCACAGCCAAAGCAATCCCCATAATCCAAGTCGCACCAGTCAATGGACAAGTCATTTGCAAAAATCCTTCTACTACAACCCTGAAGTGCTCTGTCAATAACTACAATGTTCAGTTTCTTAGACCAGGTTTTACAGGTAAATGTGGAATATGATGTCTGAATTCAGGTAGAAAACTAGAGCATGGATGTAGTTTGTTTTTAGTTTGATTTATGTAGTATGTGTGTGTGTTTATTAATAATACATGCTTGGGAATGCTTGCAATTTATTGCCTTAAATGACAGATGTTTTTGGCTTCATGGTTTAGCTCCCGGTCCGGACATCACTGCTCTTTTTAAAACACCGGATGACTGTCCGGTGGGGGAGAGTTCAGCAACAATAACATGCCAGACTGTTGATACAGTTCCAGTCTATGATAACAAAATCACACTTGACTTTACCAATTTAGGTGAGTACATTTTATTGTAGATAAACATAAAAAAACAAGACAAAAATCACATCTAATTATTCCTTTTTTCCCCTCTAGCAATTAAATGCTTCAGTGACACCTTTGGTGATGGAACAGTTGGTTTTGTTGGCATGGCTCCATGTAAAGAGTACTATGTGGGACACCTGACAGCTGTTTGTACAGACAGTGGTGTATATGACAATGTGCAAGACTACTGCATACTTGCAGTTGTTAAGGAGCTGCTTGATCAGTCGGAGGTAAATCTTTGACCTCAGACCAATTCTAATTCATTAGTTTTTCTTTAGCTTTCTTCTGTCTGTGTTCAAATGTTAAACTTTAAAAAATAAATTCAAATGAGGTGAGACAACGGTCTAGCTCAGTACTGAAGCCAAATGAATACAAACAATCTTTGGACTAAGGGTATAGTTATTTACCAGGAACCACCACACACAACCCCAGACACGTTTACGGAGTGTATGACTGCTGTCTTTATTTTTAACCTTAGACAATGTAAAGGTCTCATTCCCTAAGAAAAAAAATGCTGTGGCCTCTAGTATAAATGAATGTCTTGTGAGTTTTATTCTGTGCTCCTGTTTCAGGGGGTGGGAGTTTTTCAGAGGAGTGGGCTGCGGGGGGGTGGGGTGGGGGGTGTACTCAGTAGTACTCATGATATGCAAATGTCTTACCTCTGATTGGCTAACAGCAATGCCACCCTTCTACTGCCTAAATTTGCAAAATTCAGAATACTGAAAAACATTTTTTCATGAGTAAAATATGCAAAGTTGATGTGTTGTCTCTGGAATTAACCCAAGCCTGAAAATGTTCCACCATGTTGTGGAGATGCTATTGGTTAGCTTCCAGTAGCTGAGACGCTCTTGCTCATGGTCACAAGCCAAAGGGGGGCAAGGCCATGAATACTGATTTTGGCCTTAACATAGAACAGTCTGGCATTTTATAACTTCATAGTTTTCTCATCTATTTCCTTTCCATGGCTAATTCAGGCAACTACTGTTAAGAGTGACTTGAGTTTAAATGTTGAGATGTTACATGTGACTAAACTTTTCTTTCCACACTTGTGACAGAGTCTGAATGGATTCACACTGCCAGTATTTTTGGAGCAACTCAGTAATGTGACTTTAAGCTTCTTTGAAGAAGTAATGGATTCTCCTCCCACCATTGCTGCCATTGTTAAAATCCTTGACAATGTAGCAATTACCTCTTCGTCAAATAATATTATAATAACACAAAAATCAATGAAGGTGGGTGAATTCACTTGATAATATTTACATTTATGCAGCTTGTCTTCTCTTCTCTTTTCTTGGCATAATGTATGCATGTCTTTTCTGTCTAGAACGTCATGGAAACTGGAGGGATTCTCACCACTGATGAGGCAAAGGGTTCATGGAAACTTCTGAATAACAAGGATGACATAAATGGCTCAGAAAAAAATCCAAGTGGCATAAACAGCAACAGCTCTTTGTTGCTCCACGCCTTTGAGAAAATAACAAGTCGTCTTGTCAATGAATCTTTCAATATTCAGACACCTTATATTCTCCTGAACAAAACCACGTTCTCACACACTTTCATCGGCAACTTCAATTCTTCTGTGGAAATCGATGTATTAGAGGCTGATGGAGAAAACAATCCAATCACAGTCATATTATTTTCTTCCATGGATAACGTGCTTCTTGCAAGAGACAAAGCAAATTCATCATCAGACGTTATCAATGGAAAGGTTACACTTATTAAGTCGGAAGCCATCATCAGTAATTTAACGTTATCATTTGAAACTACAAATGACACTCTGAAAAATCCTAAATGTGTCTTCTGGGATTTCACCCTCTTTGATGGAGTTGGAGGATGGAGCCAAGATGGCTGCTCTTTGGTATACTATGAAAATGGAACAGCAAGCTGCAACTGCAACCATACCACCTCCTTCTCTATACTGATGTCACCTGATAGTATTGATAGCCCGATACTGGACTATATTACATACATTGGAGTTGGCATATCAATGGCTTCCTTGGTCATATGTCTTATCATTGAAGCTATTGTATGGAGAAAAATAAGAAAAAACGCCACATCATACCTACGTCATGTATCCATTGTTAACATTGCAGTGTCTCTTCTGATGGCAGACATCTGGTTCATTATTGGAGCAGCTATTTCAAATTTAAATGAAAAAAACCAACCAGCTTGCACAGCAGCTACATTTTTTATTCATTTTTTCTACCTCGCCTTGTTCTTCTGGATGTTAGCATCAGCCCTGCTGTTGCTCTACCGTACTGTCAGTGTCTTTGATGGAGGGCTGTCTAAAGTCTCTATGTTGGTTATTGGATTTGTATTGGGATATGGAGCTCCACTCATCATTGCAACAGTAACCATAGCTGCAACGGCACCATCAAATGAATACACCAGAGAAAACAGTGTCTGTTGGCTCAACTGGTACGAGTCCAAAGCTCTACTGGCCTTTGTGATCCCAGCTCTTCTGATAGTGCTGATAAACCTCATAATCCTGGTTGTGGTCTTGTACAAAATTTTGAGAAGAAGGGTTGGAGGAAATGCTGCACAATCTGGCGAGAAGCATGTCCTGGTGGTTATTGCTCGGAGTTTGGCTGTGCTCACTCCATTTTTTGGAATAACTTGGGGTTTGGGAGTTGGAACCATGGTAAAACCTGACGACATGGGAATCCTTATTACATTTGCATTATTCAACTCACTACAGGTAATTTTTCAGAGGTTGCACCTTTTGATCTTATTGTTTAGGCTTTTCCACTTCATTAATACACTTACATAATGAATTGAAATTATGGAATTGACTTCTGATAACTTGTGTCTCCAAAGGGTTTCTTTATTTTGGTGTTTGGAACGCTGTTGGACAAAAAGGTATGTATACCACTAGCAGCACGCATCAAATTCAAATTGCTAACACTAGCATACAAAGTCCGAGACGGTACGGCTCCCATCTACCTGAATCCTCTTGCAAAGGCTTACATCTCGGCCCGGCCGCTCTGGTCTTCACAGGATTGTCGGCTAGCAGTGCCTACACCACGCTCAGGACAATCCAGACTTTTCTCATGCATTGTTCCACAAATGTGGAATGACCTTCCTAACACTACCAGAACTGCGGCTTCCTTTTCTATTTTCAAGAAACTCCTGAAGACCCTGCTTTTCAGAGAGCATCTTCTTAACTAGCACCTTGCCTGCACCCGTCCCCTTATACTGTCCACTCCTTGTTCCCTCCTCTCCATGACGGATGTCAATGTGTTGTTGTTACTATTGTTGTTAGCCTCAAGGGCAAAATGCCGATTATCACTTGTAAGTCGCTTTGGACAAAAGCGTCTGCTAAATACATAAACATATACATAAACATAAATATACCTCAGCTGTTAAGCTTAGAGTAACTTATAATAATAAAATCAAAAAAAGAACTTATAATTTTGATGTTTGATATTTTGATGTTAGGTGAGAATGATTACTGCATCAAAATAGACCCCCAATATTCCTGCAATTATGGACATGTCCAACACATGCGAAGAAGTGTGGCAGGTGACCATTTGAAACGTTCACAAGCTGGATCCAATTGTTACTTGATTTTAGACAGTTTGTCTTTGGACCAGTTCAAATGGTGCACACTTTGAACTGGATGACATTGTGTCTCACACAAATTGAGGATTTGAGTGTTCTGTAAAATCTTGTTTCAGACCTCCTATAGCAATCCAACACTCATATCCAGCTCCCGTTTTTTTTAAAACATCCAAACTGGCTCCATGGTGTGAGCTGAGCAGAGTGTAAAGTTTACTCAAAATTTACTTAGTAGATGTCTGGCAGTCCAAGATCTCATTGAGAAGAGTGCAAGACAGGCACAAAGGAAAACGCTCAAGAGTTAGACTTGACAAAGTGTATAATTTGTAAGTGTCCAAGTTAGGGCAGCAGTAGCTTAGGAGGTTGAGTGGGTTGTCGGTTGCAGGTTCAATCCCGGAGAATATTCTGCTGTTGTGTCCTTGGGCAAGACACTTAACCCACCTTGCCTGCTGGTGGAGGTCAGAGGAACCAGTGGTGCCTGTGCTCGGCAGCCTCGCCTCTGTCAGGGTGCCCCAGGGTGGCTGTGGCTACATTGTAGCTCATCACCATTAATGTGTGTGTGAATGGATGAATGATACACTGTAGTGTAAAGCTCTTTGGAGTCCTCTGACTTTGATAAGTGTTATGCAAGTACAGGTCATTTATCAAATATCATAAAATTAGATCATGGGGGCAACTGTACTATCAACATCGGCTCATAGAGTGTATCCCACTGGCAGCCCATTGGTTAAAGGTGTCATCTGACACAGAAGGACTAAACTTGTGGTTCTTCAATAGACTTCAGTGAAACCAAAAGATTGCCTACCTTGATTCCAGATCTTAATTGTTGAACAACTATGGGATTGGCTGAGTATGACATGAGGCAAGATCAGCTTGTATCAGAATATAGATATAGGAGAGCTAGAGACAAACAATGCTCCCTCCACAGCCACCCAACTGAGCACATCAGCACCTCCCACAGCCAGAACGCCAAACACCTAACTCATATTAGAAGGCAAAGAATAATACTATAGGAAGTACTGTACATGTCAGCAGGGGGAGAAAGTAGCTTCAGACAGCAGGTTTTGGGGTCTTATTTCCGGATGACGGCCTGATGACACACTTAGTTTCCATTGAGGCTTCTGCGGGCTTTTCAAAGTGTGACGGGTGGTAGCTGAGAGCATGGACCTTGGCGGTCTGATCCTCGACTACAGAAGCTGGCTCTTGGCATGTTGAATGTCACTTCTCTGGTGGGGAAGAAGCTTGAGTGCGATGTTGAGAGGTTCCGACTACATATAGTCACTCACCTCAACGCATGGCTTTGGCTTCAGAACCAGTTGCCTTGAGAGGGGTTAGACACTTTACCCATTTGGAGCTCCCACTGAGAGGCACCAAACAGGGGTGGACATTCTAGTTGCCCCCCCATCATTGTGTCTGTACGTTGGGGTTTACCCCAGTGAATGAGAGGGTAGCTTCCCTCCACCTACGTGTGGGAGGGATGGGTCCTGACTGTGGTTTGTGGTTTTGCACCAAACTGCAATTCAGACTACCCAGTCTTTTATGGAGTCCTTGGAGGACATGCTGGAGAGCACTCCTTCTGGTGACTCGTTCTGCTGGGGGACCTAAATGCTCACGAGTTTAAGTATCTCGAGGTCTTGTTCATGAGTGAGGGAAAGCTGGAGCACAAGATCAATATGCGGATTGGTGCTGCGTCTGCAGTGATGCAGGCATTGTACCGGTCGGTCGTACTGGTCTGTCGTGGGGAAAAAAGAGCTGAGCCGAAAGTCGAAGCTGTCGATTTACTGATTGATCTATGTTCCTACTCTCACCTATGGTCAAGATCTTTGGGTAGTGACCGAAAGAACGAGATCGCAGATAAAAGCAGTTGAAATGAGTTTTCCCCACATTTTGTCTGGGCTCTCCCTGAGAGATAAGCTGAGAAGCTTGGTCATCCCAGACGGGCTCAGAGTAGATCCGCTGTTCCTCCACATCGAGAGGAGCCAGTCGAGGTGGCTCAGGCATATGATTGGAATGCCCCCTGGACGCCTCCCTGGTGAGCTTTTCCAGGCACATCTAATCAGGAGACCTAAAGGAAGACCCAGGAGACGCTGGAGGGACTATGTCTCTCGGCTGGCCAGGGAACGCCTTGGGATCCCCCTGGAAGAGCTGGCCCAAGTGGTTGGGAAGAGAGACGTCTGGGCCTCTCAACTTAGGCTGCTGCCCCCGTGACCCAACTCCAGCTAAGCGAAAGAAAATGGATGGATGAATGGATGTTTTCATGTGCCAACCTCCGCATATTTTTCAGGTGCTATCAGGATTATCTATAAGCTCACTTTCCTCCACGGGTCAAAGGACAAGGGTAAGATATTTTATCTGGCATGTTTCTTTTGCCATTGTAGTGCTTGTTAAATATCTTCTCTGGTGACATTTAATTCTGTTTATATTCTTGTTTCAGAGCACCAGTGCTGGCAGCTCATCCAGTGGTCTGGAAAATTGGTTCCGGAAATTGAGAAGAAGGAGAGGTTTGCAAAAGTCAAAGTTTAAATCTGACAAAGCAGAAATAATATGCAAAGCTCGCCTTCTGCATCTGTTTGTGCTGCCATGTGGGTCTTTATGAGGAAAGCAATGGTGCAAAGAACTTTTAAAGCATATTGACAGACCACAGAACAATTATAACTTTCAAAATCTATAACTTATCTCCACATTGTACTTTGCATTATTTTTCAAAACGTTGTATTCAAAACTTCTGAAATGTACATCGGAAAATCCATAAAGTAAAATCTTAGAATAAATATGAACAACAAAACTCTAATTAAACGAGAACTTCAGCCAGAACTTTAATCCTTAAGAAACAAAGGTAAAAGTGAAAAGCAAGTGTTTAGCTACACTGTCTGGGCAAAATTAGGTTGTCACCTGGATTTAATTAAGCTAATGGGTACTAGCATCTTATTAAAGGGATACTGTGCAACTTTTTCATATTTAAAAAAAACATTTCTTGAGCCTGTATGTGCCAAAATGACTCTTTACAGGGTTAATAAAATGTCACTCAGACCATAGCGCCCCCTGTGGCCAGAATATTACATTTGCAACTTCAGAGTTGCCAGTCTGATCTGAAAAAATGGAGCTGACATGCATGGTGCTGCAGTCTGGTTCCAGCACATTTCCTGTATGTTTTGGATCATGAACACAGGTGAATTGTTTAATTTAGTGATGAATCACTCTTGTAGACACTAAGGAAGTCTAGGGAGACATTTCAGCTGTTAGATTAAGGTGTTGAAAAGATGAACACACATCAAGGAGAGAGGACACTAGGGGGTGCTGAAAGCTAGCCAAAACTGCCTTGTCTCCCTTTAAATGTGGAGCGTTTCTCAACGTCAAGGAACCTTGCCTTGCCTTGCTTACGAGGACACTGTCCTTCCTTGGTCAGACAAAACAGTGAAATGGAACAGACTTACCTCACTTGACTGCGGTGGTCATGTCACGTGACACGGGAGGTAAAGTTAAATTTCATGTATAAGTTTCAATATAAATATGTGACGAGCCTTTTACTTTTGGAATTGTGCACTGGTTAAATTAAATATGTAGGCGAGTTTCTACCTGCTAGCCACCAAAGCTGCAACTACAAAGTAACTAACCAACCATAGATAACTGATTCAGATCTGAAAAAAACATTCTAGATATAAGCCTGATAGCTACAATTACTTGACTTACATTTAAATAGGAAATTTGCCTCTGAAGTAGCTGCTGGCTCCTGATCCACTATCCTTTTTAAAATACTGCGCTGTATTCAGGAAAATTTTTGACCAAGAGAAGAGAAGGCAACAAGGCACCTCGCATGTATCCTTGCTCAGCTAGCCAAATGGCTAACAAATGAAGGACAGATGCCTCGGTAGTACATGAACATTGGAACTGAGTGGAACACACCTTGGTGGTTCCCAGTTCTTAATTTGTAAAAACATTCCCGGAACGCAAACACTGATGTGCACCGGTGCAGTGAATGTCTGGAGCGTATCAACGATCAGAGCTCTGCGCCTCTCAGCTCTAAATAATCCCTGGAGAGTCCACATGAATAATGTAATATAAGTAGAACCAGGATCGTTTTCACGCTCCTCCTGGGTGTGGAAGTTGAGGGCTTCCAGGAGCTCCCTAGTTCACCTGTAATTCGAGTCTTGCGTATAGCACAAGTCGGTCATGCGAGTTGCCGGAACCTAGCAGACATTTGCCCGAACAGTCCTTTCAAAATAAAATAGTTTCCAGATCTTGTTCCGGCAAGATCCAGCTCAAATCAAGCCCTGATGGTTCCTAATGACGTATCTCCTAGGTAACTGGGGCGGGACCACGGCATCAAGGCGAGGTTGCTTGACATTGAGAAACACCGTGTCTGCATGGACCTTTATCCTTCAGATGGAGAACAATGTATTAATGCAATGAGTAGCGTCTCTTTTTTTTTTTACATTCTGTGGTTGTGGAAAATATGATTTATGCATCTGCAATAACTATAACTTCATTTATTTTCATAGTTAAAAAAACTACAGACTAAAACTATGTATATGCTAGTAGACCTGGGGGCTCAGGGTGGAGCAGTAGAACAGATTATTTAGTAGTATGTTGTGTTAATATTGTGTAACCCTGAACTAAACTACTTTCTCATGTTTTCTATTTCAGGTTCAAACGGCTACAATCTGTCTTCTAATGGATCCAATGAATCTTTCTCCAACACTTGATTGTTTGTACAAACACTTTAGCTTTAAAAGAAATGATGTTTATTTGACTCACAATATGATGTCTGTAAAGAGTTTATTTTTTCTGTGCTTTTAAAGAAATGAAGGAAATGCTGCTGCTTCAGCGTGTAATGAACACAAGAAAATTAACTGTGCAACCGTTGTAGTACCTCTGTCCGCCTTAAACATTATCGAGCAAACACAGTTTTGATCAGTTGCTTTTGCTGCAAAAAACTAAACTGAAAGGTGAACTTAGTTTATTTAAACTTTTTTATTGTTATTTATATTTTATTTAAACTATGTAAGAAATAATTTTTTGCTTTTTGGGGCTTCATTGCAGAAAAGGACACTAGATATAATCTACAGACTAAAACTGGGTCGATAAAAAGTGTGTGTATATATGTGGAGTTGATCTGAAATTTGATTAATTTTGTTTTACAGCAAAAAAAAAATCCTAACTGAGGGGCAGTTCACTTTAAGTGGAAACCAGTTAAGCAAGCAGCAGACTGTTTTACAGATGCTAATGGTAAATGTAACCCTTTTTATAGTTTCATACTGAAGTCTTACCCCTACCTCACACTGGACGCATCAGTGGTACAGAACGCCACCGCTTCAAATAGAATCCATTATAGTCTATGGAGGTGATTCAAACCAGCTGCAGCGCGGCCATTTTCAGGAGCGTTCTAGAAGCGGCGCACCGCACTGCTGAAGATGGGATTGGGTTCGATTTTTGCTGCGGGCTGCTTCTGGGACACAACAGTTTCCATAGTTAACATAGGGCTAAGAAATCACACACGGTTTCAGTGTAAAATCCCCGGTAATTTTCTAAATAAAAGTCTATTGCAGCGACTCGATTTCATATCTGTGTTGATTACGTTAATACAAGTGAGCTAGCATCTCATTTACTCCCAGCATTGTTCCAGAAGTGCAGTGGTGTGTCTTCATGGCTTTAATCCTGGCAGTGGAGAGGAACAACATCATATATGACATCAAAAAGTGATATCAAACGTGATTTCCATCTTTTTGGTTTAGTGGAGGATGGCATGAACAAACCGTGACTCTTGAAGTGTCGAAGGATTTTCAGTTAAGCAAGGAGCATGGCAGAACAGCCGCTCCATGGCTGAGATTCTCTCGGTGTACTGTCACGCAGCAAAAGCTGCGAGTAAAGCCTGAGTTATGCTTCTGCGTCAGTGCGGAGACACACAACGCCGTTATCCGTCCTTGCCGGCCTGCTGGAGAGCTCTCGCAAGGAAGGACGGAGTCGAGCTCTCTTTTCTAAACATCCGTCCATCAAGAAGGAGAACGCCAGAGCTGTAGAAAGACAGAGTTGTGACACGCCTTGAACTCACCGACTCGCGGTCACGTGTTTCACGGAGCTCTCAATAGTTCCAAACATCCCAGCGTCGTAAGTCAGTTTGATGGGACAAATGACAAAAATTGAATATTGTCACATTTCCCCTGGCGATTTTTGGTAATTATTGAATAATATTATATATTATATTATATATTACGTCCTAATTCCTCCGCCAAGTAGCCTATTTATATTTTTCCGAGCATTTGTAGGAAGACAAACACCCGTGACTGTTCTACATTACAGGAATACGACAGTCCTAACACACTGTAGAACACATTTAGACCACATGCATTACTATAATATATTATAGCAATAAAATTGATGTAGTAATGCAACACACTGCTCTAATATAAGCACATTTAATAACTAAGTCCTACAAGAACCCTAAACTCGAGTTGTAATATCCATTTAAAGGGTTTATTGAAAGCTAGAATTCTGCTCCAGCTCACCTTGAAGAAAAAAAAAATTTTTTATTTGAAATTACAAATTTTAGGGTTGGATAAAATTACACCTCTAGTATTTTAATAATGGTTGGCTGCGCTGCATATGGATGTAGCAATCAGTCTGAGGGAGGAACCAGAATTATGGCTCCCCCAAAGACGCAGAGAGAAGAAGAAAATGGTTGGCTCAAGTCAGCAGGAGCAACCTCACCATGACCAGAGATCGCAATAACAAAAATCTGTGTGCAGCGAGTTTAATGCGCACTCTCACATGTTTTCTATCAAGGCTCTACATGTTCTGCTCTCAACTGCACAAGGCTGCAATTTAACTGTTAAATGTGGCAGGACATAAACTAATACACCACTCTACAGGCACATGTAGAGGAGGCACAGTTTACTAAGACTAGGCGAGGTGAGGTGAGACTCAGGGCTGATGCTGTTTGTTCATCGCCCTGAACCAAGGAGGAGGAAGGACCCCGCAGAACCACTGCATGTTGATCCAGTTACTGACCAGTGACCACACACAGTGTACTCAAGTAAACTGTGGTACGAATCTTTAGAAATATTAAGACATTTGTATGTATTTTATTTAAAAATGATTCTTTATTCTAACAGTGCCATTATAATTTCAGAGAATGAGGAAAGCAGCAGCAGCAGTGAGGAAAATGAGATAAGGGAAAGTGAGGGGGGACATGAGATGGTATCAGGAGAGAGGGACATCCCAGGAAGCCATGAGGAGCCGGCATCAGGGCCAGGAGGAGAAAGGAACAGGCTGGAACCAGGAAACCCAGCAGGAAAACCTAAGGGAGGAAATAGAAAGTCAAAAAGGCATGAAAAACACAAGAGGCATTAAATGGAGTAAACAGACAATCAAAAAGGTCGTACAGCTCTGTTTTTCAGTGGGTTCAACAGGCTACAGGTTTCTTCAGGACACGAGTATCCCTCTGCCTGATGTTAGAACCCTGCAAAGACAAATACAGCCCATTAAACTGGAACCAGGTGTGTTAGGAGAGGTGTGTGACATGCTCAGTTTGAAGGTTAAAAATCTGACAGGAATGGAAAGAGAGTGTGTGCGTGGCACCTGCTCAGTAAAACCACCAACAGGGTGAAAAATATCAAAATATTGTCGGCAGAGACGGGCTACAACTTCTGGATCCACTTTATATAAATCGTTTTATTGATTATCGTCTTATGAAAGATAACTTTGACGTACACGAGCGACCGGTACTGGCTGCTGTCACCTGTTGTGAGCAGCTCTCTGCTGTCTGAGGGTAGGCCCCGCCCACAAAGCCGCGGCTGCTGTGGCTCCCAGTGTTTTCTTTACTGTGGGAAATGGGTAATAATGGCTCTTTGATGGGAACAGGTCGCCGACCCCTGGTTTAAGTGTTTCAATTTTTGTAATGAATTCGATTAAAAATAAAGGCGCCCGGCCCGTGTCCGAGGTAATTACACAGTCGTTGGCCCGAAGCCCGGCCCGAGGGCCATCGGGCCAACCCGACCTGAGGGCCTAGGGCTTCAGTGCAGGGCTCTAGATGAGATAGCAATCACTCCAGGCGTGCATCACTCCATCACAGACCCAACTGGGTTTTGCCACCACCGTTGTTTCTGGTCAGCTCTCCGCTCAGCCACTATGAAAACATGAAAATGTACACAATACAGTTTAACCTTTAATGGTTACATAAGATTTTTGTTTTAGTTACTCTTTTTATTGATAGTTGTGTTATTGTTAATTCTTATTTCTTGTCATTCCTTACTTAATAACAAAATAGCAAATGCTGATCTTATAAAGCAAGTGGAAATTAGCATTTTTATGCAAAATGTCTAATTTTTAAAAGTTATTGTTCGACTACTGTTCTTGAATTATCTTAATTCTATTCTTATTACTTGAGTACACAAAACAGAACAACATATCTTCTTACGTTCGTACTCCTGTTTGTCTCATGCTTCAGCAGTTTGCTGCAGTCAGTGTTATTAACTGAAAAATATTAAATAATTACTCGTCTTCACAATCACGTTTTCTTTATTATTGGTCTCTCCATTTGTGCTTCCGTTTCTGATGCATGTTCGTGTTGATACAGCAACCAGCAACGTATTGTACAAATATTCCCAAATAAAACTAATAATGTAAAAAGTTTATCACCTATTTGAAACTGTGGGGAATATTTTTAAAACGTAGAATCAAACAAACTGAAAGAAACCCGTCTACAGCTCGTCCTCCTGCTCACAACCAACAAGCTGCACACAGTTAGCTCATTAAAGGCGATCTAGCTAAAACTGGCAACATAAAATATCATCGTTGGCTTATTTTGGTACGAAGCGGTTAGCTAACGCTTCACAATGCAACAAAATGATGACATTTCATCAACTTACCGGAGAAAATCCTTCCGAAACACCAAAAATGAACTACTTTCCTCTTTATTTCGGGGATTTAATTACTAGGGAGGAATGTGGATCATATGTCCTTAAAACTTGTGCATCCTTACTCCATGGATTATTTATATGTGTGTGTGTGTGTGTGTGTGTGTGTATGTATATATATATATATATATATATATATATATATATATATATATATATATATATATATATATATATATATATATATATATATATATATATATATATGAATGGTAGTCCAGAAGGACAAATTAAACTGGGGCCATTAAAGAGTATTACTTGTTTGGTAAAACAAACAAATAATAATGGATATTCATAATACCAGTGGACATGTGTTTCCGTCTTTGAGAGAAGAGAACTGTGTACTTCTCTTGTATCATAGCAACGGACGGAACCGTCTTCAGCCAATCATGTACATGTTTGACTAAGAGTGACAGTGAGACCACCAATCAGAAGCTCCAAAAGGGATTAAGCCCGCCTATATCGCTTTGGATTGTGGGTAATGTAACTGAAACGACAACAAACATCTTTCTAGCTCCAACGTCTGATTTATTTCTGCACACGTTCTTTAAGCAGAAGAGTATGGAAAACGTGCACCAGGCTGCAGAGGAAGATGACCTTTATTCTGGTTACAACGACTTCAACCCGGCGTTTTACTCGGAGGTGCGTGACCCGCTAACTCCCTGCTATTAGCTGCTGGTACTCTAGGCTCGAGGCTGAAGTTAGTTTAGCCTTATACTGTAGGCTTTATTAGCACGAACCACGGTGGTTTGTTTTGGATCATTTGGACATAAATGTGATGATACATTTTCTTAAACCTGTAGTTTGAAAATGACGTGGGCTTCCAGCAAGCAGTTAGAACAACTTACGGAAGAAGACCTCCGGTAAGAAACGTTTGTATTGTTTTTGTGTTCGTCACTAGAGAACCCCTTTTGGACTTGCTGAAGTTAGCTTCCGTTTCCAGCTTCTGATTCGGGAGACGGCTAAAGGGCCATTACACCCAATTTTTCTCTACTCTGACCATCTTTAATCTGCTCTAGCTCAAAACCTTACAACACCCACACTGTTCAAACCTGTTCTAGATTATTCCACTATAATAGCAGATTGCATAAAATTTTGTTTGGGATTTGTAAAACCTTTCCCTGATTTGTGAAACTTCAACAAAGCCAGATTTGTGCGTTTTTTCAGCAGGTACAGCTATAATATCAGATGTTTCCAGTGGTCTGATATGTCTGAACCTAATGGTTAAATGAGAATTGAGGATTGTTTAGAATGACTTGTATGTGTACACTTGTTTACCCACACTCATGGATGATGTTGTGTGTTTATCTCTCCAGATAGGTGGAAAGTTCCCAGGCACTGCCATTGGAGCTCGACCGTTGTTTTCTTCTTCTGGAGTAAGTACAAATATGTAAATGTTTAAAAACCTAATTGACAAAAGCCTACATTAGGTTTAGGAAACAAAGTACAACATCTTCGTAATAAATGACTTTTACACAGAAGAAAGTAATGAAGGCAGCAGGGCTGTGCAGTTTATCAAAGTAGTATTTTGCTTTTGACTTTCAAATGAACACAAAACAGTGTGATTTACATTAGCAAAATAATATAAAAACATTAAATAGACATTTTGTTTAAAGGTGTGGAACACTGAAGAACAAGTTTTAATGATTATTTCTGATTATAATCAGTCACACTGAGTTTTTCATGCAGGCTGAACATGAAAATAGTCTCCTACCTACCTCCTGCAGTAGCTTCTGATAGAAAGTAGACGGTGAAACTCTAGGATTAGAAAATCCTGACAAATCTACATCACATTGTCACTGAGCATTCATGGACTCACCTTGACTCACGACAGGGAAGGCTGTTGTTGATTTAGCGTCCAGGAAACAGCAGAGAATCAGAGCTCCTCCAGGCTTCAGTTATTTGTGGAGATAAAACATCAACGTTGCAAAGCAAACAGATTGAGTGGTGGAGTGGTGTTGCTGTTAGCCAATCAGAGGAGAGATGTCCAAATATCAGGAAATAAGACTCCAAATCCTGTTAAGCTCTCCTCTAATGTGGAATTCTGCTAATTTACATGCTAGGTTGCATCTGAGCCCCCCTCAGGTGTTGTAAGAGCCCGTGTTGCTCTGATGGTGGCCTTCAGCTCTTCTGAATTGTTGGGTCTGGCGTACTGCACCTTCCTCTTCACGTTACCCCATAGATTTTCTGTTTGGTTAAGGTCAGGTGAGCTGCTCTAAAACTTCCTGATAGATGGCTGCGTTGACCTTTGACCTCAGAAAACACAATTGACCAACACAGATTTCACTCAGTTTATGTATATAGCACCAAATCAGGACAAGAGTCGTCTCAAGGCACTTCACAAAGTAAATATTCCAATACAGGTCAGTTCATTAAGCCAACCCATAAGATTGCAGCAGATGACATGACACCCCAAACCTTTACGGACTGTGGAAACTTTACACTGGACCTCAAGCAACGTGGATTCTGGGCCTCTCCTCTCTTCCTCCAGACTCTGAGACCTTGATTTCCAAAGGAAATGCAAAATTTACTTTCACCAGAGAACATAACTTTGGACCAGCCAGCAGCAGTCCAGTCTTTGTTGTCTTTAACCCAGTCGAGACGCCACATCTTGTCCTTCCCTTCACATCTGTATTAATGTGCTTGGTCACAGAGCTCTGTCATCATCCGGCCTCCTTGTACGAGATGTCATTGGTCGTCTTTTGGACATCTTGTCAACTCAGCAGACTGAGAGACCATCTAAAGGGTTTTGCAGGTGTTTTCAGTTAATTAGCTGAGAGTGTGGCACCGGGGGTCTTCAATATTGAACCTTTTCACAATATTCTAATAATCTGAGATACTGGATTTGGGATTTTCATTGGTTGTAATGATCAAAATTATAGGAATAAACATTCTAAATATATCAGTCTATGTGGAATGAATGAACTTAATAAAGAAGTTGGAATTACTGAAATAGATCTACTTTGTCATGATATTCTAATTTAATGACCAACACCTGTATAGTTCCAGCCAAGGATGGCGATGACAGAATCATTTCAATTCAGCTTATTTAGATGGCGCCAAAGCAGGACAAGAGTCGTCTTAAGGGACTTCACAAAGTAAACATTCCAGTCAGTTCAGTTCATTAAGCCAGTCAGTAAAGCGTTTCATCTATAAGGAACCCAGCAGATTGCATTGAGTCACTGGCTGTTTCTCAATATGTATACTTGTCCCAACTTGTGTACTCGCGTCCTTGTGGAACATCATCACCGATGGCCCAAGGACTAAGTATGCATACGTTCGCTCAAAGTTCCTGGATGCGTTCTTGCTCCGCCCCTTGTTTCAAGGATGCATCCTTCTGCAGACTTGGGAAAAGCTAATAACTGTAATGTTTCATATTAGAGATGCAAATAAAACTATATAAAGTTGTCCATTATTGTAAATAATTGTGTGTAACCTGTAAATTTTACTGTGTTTGAGTTTTACTCGTCACGATTCCTAAAAATGCTAATTAGATAACCCACTATCAAAATAAAAGCACCGTAGCTCTGTTGTGATGAGGAATACACATTTTTTTATTCATTAGAGTGTAGGAAATGCTAGTATTTTATGAGTTTTGATTAAAGAGGGCCAAATATAATACTAACACACAACCTCCAGATAGTTTTCCATCAGTTTCATTTTCTAAGCATCAAGGCCCCTAAAAGAACACATTTTTATCTGCACTGGCTTCCTGTTTGGATCTCCAGGCTCCTGGTGAAGCTCTTCACTGCTTTTATAGTCTGTCCACTTTTTTCCCATGTGGCTGATTAATCAAGAAAGTCTAATCTAATTAGCTGATGTCTACGTTATAAGTGTTTGATATATTCCTCATTCTGACCTGAACAAGTCTGATTTTAGGTATGTTTAGTCAATACTGTTTTGAAGATAATAAAATACGTTTTTCTTCTAAACCTTTTCCTGAGATAAATCTTTATTATCACTAAACAACTCAACTTTGCCTCCTGCTGATATAAATCTCTGCCTGTAGGCTACTTCAAATGTGAACCCGGGATATTTAGTGCTAAATAAATAATTCAGCTTAATTTAATAATCATGATTTTAATATTTACCTAAATGGAGCTTACATGTGTGTTTCCTGCAGTCGCGCATGCCTTTGGCCTCTTCAATGGGCAGACCCGTGACTGGAGCTGTGCAGGTGAGGTTTTTGCACTTTAATAACTACCTGGTTTGGTGTTGGGTTTCCATACTTCTGTGCTTTTTGCAGTGCTGCGAGAATAACACTTTTAGGGCTGGGCGATGTGGCCTAAAATCAATATCACGATAAATTTTGGATTTCACCTTGATAACAATAAATGGACAATAACTACAGGTATGTGCAGAAACAAAACTTGTCCCCTAGATGGGGCTGTCACACGTAGTTTGTTGAGTCACATTTTTTACGTGACTCAAGGTGGTACAGCTTCTGAACTCATTTACTGCCAGCCGTTTCCTGATCAATAAAACCCTTCGCTGCCAGCGTTTTTACTGTATTTTAAGAGTCACTGAACGTTGCGCTCTATGATGATGTTGACGCCCAAACTACCAAAACAAAGAGGAGACTCGCCTCTTACATCAGGAAGAATCCACGCGTTTGAGTGTTATCCGTTCTTTCATAATCAGTTGTCGAATTGTGATCAGGAGAAGCTTTTCCGGTACGTGCCTCACTTTTTTTTACAACAGCGGCCCAAAACAATCTCCTAAAACATGGATTTTCTGCTTCCTGATCTTGTGACGTGTGACGTACGCGGATGAAGATCCGCTTTAGAGCTGGGATGTTTGTTCTCACGGTGGGGGGGGCTCGTTCCAACGCCCACACAGTAAAAAACAGCAAAGGACGACTTTAGTCGTCATTGGCAGTGAACGGTTGGATTTAAAATGACGACTTTTGTTGTCAATGGCAGTTAATGAGTTAAAGGAGCATGAACGTTGCCGACCCCACACACATCTTTTCGTTTTTATTATCAAATTTGGGAAAAATTATCTCGATAAGAGTCAGAAATTCCGATGGTACATTTTTTATTTATTACCTGGCCCTAACCCTTAGAGAACTTGTTTGTTTTTAATTATAAGAGAACTGGCTAATGACGTGACGTCTGTGTTCATTGACATGAACACAGATCCTTCCATTAATCATCTACATTTTCTGCTATGAAACACAATATTATAAAGTTCCTGAGGCCAGCTCGTGATACGTTTGTTGTCCATTTGACAGGATGGGCTGGCTCGACCGATGAGTGCTGTCAAAGCCGCCGGTTACTCCTCCACCCTCACACGGGGTAGGTTTAAATCTTTCACATCTGTTGTACTGCATGTCTATTATTTATGGGGGTTTATTTGTGAGTTGTTGGCCATCTGCATTTTCTTTTATACCTGAAGAACAAAATTGCAGAGACTAAACAGAAGCAGGAAGCTGGTTTTGTTCTTCATAAATAAATAAATATGTGTATTTACACAGATGTCTTGTAATAATGCAAAAAGAAGATTTTCTGTTACCATGGGAATTTGTGTTTTCAGGCTCAGCCTTTGACCCTTTGGGCCGGTCCAGGGGCCCTGCACCTCCTCTAGAGGATACGTATGTTTTTTCTTCTGGGGTGTTTTCATTGTTGTTGTTAATTTGTATAGCATGTGATCTAATAGTAATGGCTGTCATTTGACTTACTTTATTATGGAGGTAAACAAAAGAAACAAACATTAATTTGCTCCTCTGATCTAACATGGGAAGTGTGTTTTATGAACGTGCTTAAAAGCAGCTACATGCTGAGCAATAGTTGGCAAACATTTACTATAGCATACACATTTATTTATGAAGCACAGTTTAAAGATAGCCGTCGTCGTCTTCCTCCGCTTATCCGGGTCCGGGTCACGGGGGCAGCATCCCAACTAGGGAGCTCCAGACCGTCCTCTCCCCGGCCTTCTCCACCAGTTCCTCCGGCAAGACCCCAAGGCGTTCCCGGACCAGTTTGGAGATGTAACCTCTCCAACGTGTCCTGGGTCGACCCGGGGGCCTTCTGCCGGCAGGACATGCCCGAAACACCTCCCCGGGGAGGCGTCCAGGAGGCATCCTGACCAGATGCCCAAACCACCTCAACTGACTCCTTTCAATCCGGAGGAGCAGCGGTTCTACTCCGAGCCCCTCCCGAATGTCCGAGCTCCTCACCCTATCTCTAAGGCTGAGCCCGGCCACCCTATGGAGGAAACTTATTTCGACCGCTTGTATCCGCAATCTCGTTCTTTCGGTCATTACCCAAAGCTCATGACCATAGGTGAGGATTGGGACGTAGATCGACCGGTAAATCGAGAGCCTGGCTTTCTGGCTCAGCTCCCTATTCACCACGACAGATCGGCTCAGCGTCCGCATCACTGCAGACGTCAAACCAATCTGCCTGTCGATCTCCCGATCCCTCCTACCCTCACTCGTGAACAAGACCCTGAGATACTTAAACTCCTCCACTTGAAGTAGGACCCCTCTCCCGGCCCGGAGTTGGCAAGCCACCCTTTCCCGATCGAGAACCATGGTCTCAGATTTGGAGGTGCTGATCCTCATCCCAGCCGCTTCACATTCGGCTGCGAACCTACCCAGCAAGTGCTGAAGGTCAGAACTGGATGAAGCTAGGAGGACCACATCGTACGCAAAAAGCAGAGACGAGATTCTCCTGCCACCAAACTCGACACACTCCACACCAGGGCTGCGCTTAGAAATTCTGGTCATAAAGGTAATGAACAGAACCAGTGACAATGGGCAGCCCTGGCAGAGTCCAACCCTCACCACGAACAGGTCCAAGTCACTACCGGCTATGCGGACCAAACTCACGCTCCTCTGGTAAAGGGACTGAATGGCCCTTAACAAAAGGCCACCCACCCCATACTCCTGGAGCGTCCCCCACAGGGTGCCCCTGGGGACACGGTCATAAGCCTTCTCCAAATCCACAAAACACATGTGGATTGGTTGGGCAAACTCCCATGCCCCCTCCATCACCCTTGCAAGGGTATAGAGCTGGTCCACAGTTCCACGGCAAGGACGACAACCACACCGCTCCTCCTCAATCTGAGATTCAACTATCAATCGGACCCTCCTCTCCAGTACCTTGGAGTAGACCTTTCCAGGGAGGCTGAGGAGTGTGATCCCCCTATAGTTGGAACACACCCTCAGGTCACCCTTCTTAAAGATGGGGACCACCACCCCAGTCTGCCACTCCACAGGAACTACCCCCGATGACCACGCAATGTTGCAGAGACGTGTCAACCATGACAGCCCTACACCATCCATAGCCTTAAAACACCCAGGACAAATCTCATCCGCCCCCGGGGCTCCACCGCTGTGTAGTTGTTTGACTACCTCAGCAACTTTTGCCCCAGAGATTGGACAGTCCATCCCCAGGTCTTCTGGCTCTGGCTCCTCCTCGGAATGCGCATAGGTGGGATTGAGGACTTCCTCCAAGTATTCCTTCCACCATCCGACTATAGCCCCAGTTGACGTCAGCAGCTCCCCATCCCCACTGTAAACAGTGTGAGCCAATTGCTGCCTTCCTCTCCTGAGGTGCCGGACAGTTTGCCAGAACCTCTTTCAGGCGCCGGACAGTTTGCCAGAACCTCGATAGTCTTTCTCCATGGCCTCACCAAACTCCTCCCACGCCCGAGATTTTGCCACGGCTGCACCCCGCTTGGCTATCCGGTACCCGTCTGCTGCCTCCGGAGACCCACAGACCAGCCACGCCCTGTAGGCCTCCTTCTTCAGCCTGACGTTTCCCCGAACCTCTGGTGTCCACCAGCGGGTACGGGGGTTGCGACCACAGCTAGTAACAGCCGCCTCAACATTTGCAGAGTGGAACAAGGCCCACTCGGAGTCGATGTCCCCCACTGCTCTCGGGACGCGGTCAAAGCTCTGCCGGAGGTGGGAGTTGAAGACCGTCTTGACAGGTTCTTATGCCAGGCGTTCCCAGCAGACCCTCACTATGCATTTGAGTCTGCCAGGTCTACGCGGCATCTTCCCCTGCCATCTGATCCAACTCACCACCAGGCGGTGATCAGTTGACAGCTCCGCTCCTCTCTTCACTCGGGTGTCCAAAACATACGGCCGCAGGTCAGATGATACGATTACAAAGTCTATCATCGACCTGCGACCTAGGCTGCCCTGGTACCAAGTGTACCGATGGGCATCCTTATGTTCGAACATGGTGTTCGTTATGGCCAAACTGCTGCTTGCACAGAAGTCCAATAACGAAACACCACTCGAGTTCAGATCAGGCGGGCCGTTCCTCCCAGTCACACCCCTCCAGGCCATGCTGTCATTGCCCACGTGAGCATTGAAGTCCCCCAGCAGGACAATGGAGTCCCCAAATGGAGCACTCGTCCCAGGGACTCCAAAAAGGGTGGGTACTCTGAACTGATATTTGGCTCATAAGCACAAACAACAGTCAGGTCCTGTTTCCCGACCCGAAGGCGCAGGGAAGCTACCCTCTCGTCCCCCGGGATGAACCCCAACACACAGGTAGAGTCTTGGGGCTAACAAAAAGCCAATCCCAGCCCTCCGCCTCTCACCCAGAGCAACTCCAGCTAAGGAGAGTGTCCAACCCCTCTCAAGGACTTGGGTTCCAGAGCCAATGCTATGTGTCGAGGTGAGTCCGACTAGATCTAGCCGGTACCGCTCAACCTCTGCCACAAGCTACTGCTTCTTCCCCGCCAGCGAGGTGATGTTCCATGTCCCAATAACTAGTTTCCTAGTCCGGGGATCGGACCGCCAAGGTTCCCGCCTCGGTCTGCCACCCGATCCACACTGCACCGGACCCTTCATGTTCCTCCTGCGGGTGGTGGGTTCACAGTTCGATGAGCCAATGTATCCGGTTCGGGCTGGGCCCGGCTGGGCCCCATGGGCGAAAGCCCGGCCACCAGGCGCTCGCTCACGTGCCCCAACCCCAGGCCTGGCTCCAGGGTGGGACCCCGGTAACCCTCCAGGCCGGGTACTCCGACTCTTTGAATTTACTTCCATGAAAGATTCTGTGAACCGTTCTTTGTCTCACGCTTCACCTAAGACCAATTTGTCATGGGAGAGCCTACCAGGGGCACTAAGTGCCCCAGACAACAAGGCAGCAAGATGTGGAGAAAATGAGAGATAATGTTCAGATGCGCAGATGGAGATCTTTTCTAGTTTCTTTTACCTCCATGATGTTCTCTGCGTAACGTGTAAAATATCTGTCGTTAACAAACTTTCTCACGGCCAAACAAACAAACAAATAAATAATTTGTAACTATTGTAATGGCTCACCCATCACCGAGGGGTGAATAATTCGTCCCATCACCCAAACCTAGAAGGAGCTAAACGCACATGCAGGGGCGGCATGAGAGAAGACACTCCCCGTGATTTGTAGTGAACCTTGGGAACAACCAGCAGCAGGTGATCAGCTGATCGAAGGGGAAGCGTGGGTATGGAGACAGCAGATGCCTTAATCTCAATCAGCACAGAATTGGCGTAATCCAGGCAGGAGGCAATGAACGCGTGAATGATGGACTCAAGACGTGGCTGTTTGAGGATGGATTTAAGACAAGTGATGCGGTGAAGCTTTTGGTTATTGTTGTGTGTTTTGTGGTCTTTCAGGCCTGAAGAGAAGCTCAAGCTCCTGGAGAAGAAAATTAACACCCTGATAGAAGAGAGCTGCATGGCTCAGAGCACAGGAAACCTACAGCTGGTCTGACTCTGACTCAGTGTTCCACTATTGTGTCACCTCGTCTCTGTGGAAATGTAGAGCTGCTGAATCACATTACAATGTGATAACGTTATTGTTCTAACAATATCTTTGTCACGTTCGAACAATATACTGTTATGTTCTTGCTGTAAGAACGTGAAAATTAGGGATGTTCCCATCACGTTTATTTGCTCCCGATTCGATTCTGAGCCATTTGATGTTAAGAATCTTCTGATACCGAGTCCCGAACCGATACTTTATAATGCATTAAGAAAACATTTCTTTAGTTTATTTGCCATAAGCATCTCTTGTTTAGGAAGGACTTTAATAAGAAACGTGTTGATATTAAGAATAAATGTAAAAGTAGCCTTTTTTAGATCGTTTACTCTGCGCGCGGCGCTTTTGAGCAACAGGGATGGCACGGCGTAGGACAGTCAGAAGCAGGGTCACTTTTTTCATAAAACACTTGTGTAGCTGCTGCGTCTGTAAAGGTAGGAAGAGACAGCAGATCGTACCGTGACTCTGGGAGACTGAAGAACTCGACGTTTGCAACGACAGACACTCATCCAGATAAATATGCTGCTACCTTGGCATTCTTACTGTCCGTGGACCAGAGGCGGCGTTAGGCCCGGCTACTTGGGCTCAAGCCCCGGATGTTTAATGAAAAGCCCCCGATCTAAATCGCGGAAGTAACATGCAGTACCAAAGTCCAACAGAGAGGGAGCAGCTGGCAGTAGTTTGTATACAGCCTGCCTGAGCCTCCACCACTGAAGAAGAAGCCCTTCAGCAGCCGGCTTCTTCTACACTCTCTGCCTGAAACGCATGAGTGAAGATGGACATAAGGACGTTTTCTAGACCAAAAGTACGGCGACAGAACCCCAGCTCTGATGAGACTGGTGCTGACTCAGGTTTGTGAGTCTTATTAGAAAATATTTGTTTGTGCTGCTGGTTTGTCTAAAGTTAGCTTACTATCAGGTAAAGTTGTTGGAGAAAGAACGGGAATATTTACTATCATCTCACACTAAACACTAACAGGAACAATACTCTGCCCTAAAAATGCTGAATATGTAGCTTCAGATTAAACATTATGTGGTACAAGATATATATGATGTTGACTAGTGCGTGTCACGTGTGTGTGTGCGCGCATGTGTGTGTTAAGCCCCAGATCTTCTTCAGTCCTAAATCCGCCCCTGCCGTGGACTTTTTTTTTCTTAATGTATTTTTTATTCATGTTGGCTAGCTTTTCCAAATTGTTGCAGTAAAAGGTGGTGCTTCAGAATCATAGTGTTGAACGCAGCACTACCCTTTCCACCTCCATAATTGACAAATTGTGTGTGTGTGTGCGTGTGTGCGTGTGCGTGTGTGCGTGTGTGTGTGTGTGTGTGTGTGTGTGTGTGTGTGTGTGTGTGTGTGTGTGTGTGTGTGTGTGTGTGTGTGTGTGTGTGTGTGTGTGTGTGTGCAGGCTCTTGATAAAGCCAAAGAGGCGCACAGGGAGGAGCGAGCTCTGGTAAAGCAGAGGGAACAGTCGGGAAGTGCGGACCACATTAATTTAGACCTCACCTACTCCGTAAGTCGACTTGCTTCTTTTTTGTCACGTGAAGATAAAAACGAATCAAACTGAAGGTTCATGCAGAATCTTTGTTTCACATTTTATCATTTTTTCTCGTTGGTATGAAAACTTAAAAACCAACATTTTCATTGGTTTAAATGAAGTCAGTGTGTTGTTTTTGTTAACTGCCCCTTTTAGCATGTAACTGAATCTCTATAAGGTGCATACATTATTGGGCACTGACTGAGCTAGAGTTTAACAAACAGATAAAAGTTTTTCTACCAAGGCAAAAAATAAACCAGTCTTATTAGGAAGGCTTGATAATCGTAATGCTGCCTTTGTTGGGGTGAGTCAAGTTTCTCTGGTTCAGAATGCTGACAGGCATCTGCACATCTGAGCTTATTTCACCAGTTTGGACTTCAATTCATTGACTTCCTGTTGTTTTTAGCTAAATTCTTTTTTAGGTATAAATCCTTGACTCTGACCCACAGGGGCTTTAAACTCCTTCACAACGCTTAAGGTCTGCTGACCAGCAGCTTAGTGATGGTAAACTTGATTCTTTTTACTGAATCGAGTTTGAATGAGTCACTCACGGGCTGCATGGTAGCGCAGTGGTTAGCACTGTTGGCTCGCAGCATGAAGGTTGCAGGTTCAAAACTCGGCTGCGGCCTTTCTGGGTAGAGTTGCGTGTTCTCCCCATGCATGCGTGGGTTCCCTCCGGGTACTCCGGTTTCCCCCACAGATCACAACATGCCCTATAGGTTATAAACTGTAAGTCGCCTTAGATAAAAGCGTCTGCTAAATGAATAAACATAATAAACCTAAAATGAATTGGGTTTTTGGAGTCACTGAGTCAACTGCCCAGAGTGCAAAATAAATCAGCATTTTCACTCAAACTTCATTTGCTCCTCTCTACATGTAAATCCTACCGCTAACAGGAGTGTTTGAAAAAGAAAACAATTCATTTTATACACTGAAATCTATTTTTTAAAGTAGTGGTGGGACTGAGGTCATTTATTTTTTCTTTCATCTGCTTATTATCTTTGCAAAACAAAGTGTAGACTGAATATTGTTACATGGCATCAGTCAAGATCAGCTAAGGTGAAGGAGCGACTCTTCTATGGTAAGAGTTTCTGCAGCTGAGTCGGGTCAGTATGTAGTACCACAAGCTTCCACCGGGTGACTCGAATGAGCCGAGACCCGAGAGGAAGGGGGTGAGTGAGCCATCTGCGGAGGAACTGAGTGATTCATTCATGCTACGATTCAGCACTGGACATGGTGAGCTATTTCTCAGGAAGTGAGCTTTGTACTCAGGGTTTTTACATCCAGCCCCACAGCCACAGGCTGTTGTTTTTTCCCACAATGTTAATGATAAGGTACACACACTACCTGGCCAAAAAAATGTCACGACCATAAAAAAAGGTCACACACACTAATATTTTGTTGGACCACCTTTGGCTTTGATTAAGACTCACATCAGCTGTGGCGTTGTTTCGATAACCCTCTGCAACATCACCAGATTTATTTCCATCCAGTGTTGCATTAATGTTTCACCAAGGTGTTGCATTGATGCTGGTAGAGTCTGACTGCTCTACAAAGCCTTCTCCAGAACATCCCAAAAATTCTCAATGGGGTTAAGGTCTGGATTCTGTGGTGGCCAATCCCTGGACCACTTTTCACTATCTTGTCATCTTGGAATATGCCCGTGCCAACAGGGAAGATGGAATAAACTGGTCATTCAGTATAAACCGGTAGTCAGCTGACCTCATTCTTGGAGCACATCCTGTTGCTGAACCTAGACCTGATCAACTGCAGCAACCCCAGATCATAGCCCTGCCCCCACAGGCTTGTGGCACTAGGCAGGATGGGTGCATCACTTCATCTGCCTCTCTTCTTACCCTGTTGCACCATCACTCTGGAACAGGGTCCATCTGAACTCATCAGACCAGTTTTTAATAATGTGCATTTTTGCTGGTGATAGGGGGCAGTAGACATCTAAATTGTATCTGTAAAGAGAGTTACAGTAGTCTAAGCGTGAGGAGATGAAGGTGTGGAGAACTGTCTCAAGTTCAGAGCGGGACAGAATGGGACTCAGCTTAGCAACGTTCCTGAGATGGAAGAAGGAAGAGCCAACAAGAGAACTGACATGAGAATCCAGGGTGAGAGCTGGGTCAAAGGTCACGCCAAGAAGCCTGACAGAAGGTTTGGTGTGAGAAGCAAGCTGACCAAGAGAGTCTCTGACTTTGGGAACCAGCTTGTCTGGGACACAGATGAGGATCTCAGTCTTATCCTCATTCAGCTGAAGAAAGCTCCCACCATCCAGGTTCTGATAGAGTCTAAGCAGGTGTGTAACAGCTGCAGCTTAGACATCTCATGGGGCTTAAAGGAGATGTACAGTTGGATGTCATCTGCATAAAGATGGTAGGAGATTCCTTTGAAGGAGCTCAGGATGTGCTGAAGAGGAAGCAGATAGAGGAGGAAGAGCAGAGGCCCCAGCACAGAACCTTGTGGGACACCATGGGTAAGAGAGGTGGTGGAGGACCTAAACTTGGAGACGGCCACAGAAAAGGAGCGCTCAGAGAGATAAGAGGAGAACCACTCCAGAGCAGATCCTGATAGGCCTACCCAGTCTCTCAGCCTCTCCAGTAGCAGGTGATGGTCAACAGTGTCAAAGGCTGCAGTCAGGTCCAGCAGGATGTTCTCTCTGCTTGATGCCAATGATCTGACACTTCTCAAACAGACTAACATCTTTTCCATGACCACCAGACAGATGTGTCTTTCCACATGGTTGTTTAAGAAAAGAGAAGCCGCTCATTGCACCAGTTGGGTTAAATAACTTGTTGCCAGCCCATGCAGTAATTATCCAGTATGAGGCTCCTACCAATTGGCTTGGTTAAATCCAGGTGGAGACCTTTTGGCCATGCAGTGTTTATTTCTACTAATGAAGTTAGTTTGCTAACAGTAACAGAGAAGAGTCAGTGAATAAGTCTGTTGGGATTGTGAATCGTGATTCTCAAGTATTGACTGGTTCGTTCTTAACTGGAACATCACTACTACTGGTCATTCCTACGCTGTTACTGATGTTTAGCAGTGATCAGGCTTTTGCTGTGGCGGCACCTGAGCTGTAGAATCAGCTGCCGCCTAAGATCAAGCAGGCTTCCTCCTCTTCTGGTTTTAAGGGTCTCCAATTATTTTCATTCACTTCTAACACTGACTGATGCGATACATACGCGTAATTTATTCTTAATATACTTATGTATTTGTATGTATTTTTGTCTCTAGTTGTTTTTACTGTTCAGCACTTTGGTCAACTCTGCTGTGAATGAAGAGCTTTATACAGGAAGTGGATTGGTTGAGATGGTTTCACAGTTTTTTACAGTGTGTTTGTACTCTGGGTCATCGGCCTGTTTTTAAACCACCATTAGACAATAAATCTTGAATCTCTTGGTTTTCACCAGGTTCAGCTCAACCTTGCTAACCAGTACGAAAAGAACGAAATGCACCCAGAGGCTCTGAGCAGCTACAAGGCTATCGTGAAGAACAAGATGTTCAGCAATGCAGGTGAGCCAAAACGCGTTTAGCTGTCAGACCAGACCACAACGTCCTGTTAGGGTTTTAGTATTCCTAATTCAGTTTCAGATCCAAACAAATGGTAAATGGTCTGTAAATGGCCGTCTAGAGTCCTGGAATCCCCCAAGGCACTTTACAACACAATCAGGCATTCACACACGCTGGTGGTGATGTGCTACACTGTAGCTACAGCTGCCCTGGGGTGCACTGACAGAAGCGAGTCTGCCGTACACTGGTCCCTCCGACCATCACCAGCGGGGCAAGTGGGGTTAAGTGTCTTGCCCAAGGACACAACGGCATCGACAGACTGAGAGGGACTCGAACCTGCAACCTTCCGATTACGGGGTGAGCACTTAACTCCTGTGCCACCGTCGCCCCATAACAAAGCCAATGGTCTTAAGTAAAAACAAGTGTTTTCACTTGCCTGTTCTTATTTTATTATAGTTGTGTAGTTTCTGACTAAACTCAGGAGTCTTGTGGTGTTTTGGAAATTCTGCGGCACACGGACGAGGGGACACCAGCTGTGTGTGGTGAGCATCACAAGGTTATGACACCGTGTGGTACAGGAGGAAACAGCAGTTAAAAGTAGGGCTGCTCGATTGTGTCAAAAAGGATAATCACGACTACTTTGACTGAAATTTTGATTTTGATTATTTAAAAATTTTTTTAAATGATTGTTGATTTTATTTATTTATTCAATCATAAAATTGCACAGAGCACAATCAGGACTAAATAAATAAGGAGAAGAAACAAGATGATCACAACAACTCCTGATTTCTAGTGTAAAAAGGCCAATGCACCCAAAGGGTTTGGGCTGTTCAGACCCTAATATCAGACCTATAGTATGCAAACTCTGACTGCACGAATTATGCAGTGAATTTATATTTAAAAAAACATGTAAACATATATGTTTTAGTGACATTTACAAAAAGTTGCATAAGAATAATTTAATTGTGTCCAGCGAAGCTGCAGGGGAGTGCACAGTAGCAACGTGTCACTCAGAGAGACGAATTATTATTTATCAGAACTTATTTCTAAATTGTTTCTAAACTATTTATTTACAGGTCCCATCAGTTAATAAAAAAATGTCCCAGGCACAGCGATTGGAGGTGTGCTGCAACCCAGTCTCTCAGCAATCATGGGCAAACTGCGTGTTTAGCGTGCACGTGTCCCGTGTTTTAGCGTCTCAGGAGCCCGCGAGTACATTGTGTGACACTCAGCTCACAGGCTGAGTGATTTCCTGACCTGCAGGAAATGTGGACGACAGTTATCCAGAAAGTAGCTAAGGGTTACCAGAAATGTTTCTAGGTTGTTCGCTAGGTACTTTAGGATTTAAAAGGTCAGGGAGGGGGTCTGAAAAGCTGCTAGAAATAGCGACAAAGTTGCTAAGTTGGCAACACTGTGGGAGGAGCGCTTGATTTGCTGCCCGCTCTAATTACACAACACATTTTGTGTGATTACACACAGAAGTACACACCAGCATTGTCACACACAGTTCCCCTCCCTGCTGCTGCCTCTGCTCAGTCGGTGCTTCTCCTCCAGCCACGTGTGCCCCGCAGCCACGCATCATTTAAGTCGTTGTCCAGAAACGTTTGTTTCTGGACATGTGGGACAGATGTTTTCCTTTTTTATTCTGTCATGAGACTTCACCTGCCACGATGTGGGTGGTTTATCTACTAGAACTGGCTGTTAACCATTGCCATCAGCGTATTTTAGCAAGTGGAAACCTGTAAAATCTTGAGTTTACTGTCCTTCTTTTGTCTACTGGTGCAGCTCCATGTGTGTTAACCATGTTGATGGATTTAATTTTGCTGCTGTTTAGCTCTGTTTATTGACAACTAACAGATAAACCCAGCTTTGGTCAACAGGCAGGTGTCGGCCTTTTGCCCTGCAGCCAGGGGCTAGGGGGCGGGGCGTGGGCGTGTGACATCACGCTTCAAGTGAGTGCGAAGAAGACAAAACCTAGTGCTCTTTTTGTTTCCCATCTCCAGGCCGTCTGAAAGTCAACATGGGAAACATCTACTACAAACAGAAAAACTACCATAAAGCAATTAAGTTCTACCGCATGGCTTTGGATCAGATCTCCAACGCTCACAAGGACATGAGGAGCAAGATCAAGCACAGTATTGCTGTGGTCTTTATTGCTATGGGCCAGTATTCAGACGCCATAACATCCCTCGAGGACATCATGAGTGAGACGCCCAACATAACGGCAGGCTTCAACCTCATCCTGTGCTACCACGCTGCTGGAGACAGGGAGAAGATGAAGAAGGCCTTTCAGAAGCTCATCTCTGTTCCTTTGGGTATCAGCGATGAGGACAAGTACATCCCACCAAATGTGAGTTTTAGCAGTATGCACTAGTAAAGGTATGTCTAGTGACTCTATTCATGCATGATGAAAGGTCAGTTTATTTACCAGATTTTGCTTATTTGGGGTCCGGGTTGTGGGGATAGCAGTTTCAGCAGAGAGGCCCAAACATCTCTCTCTCTCACCAACTCCTCTGTAGCATCCTTGGTGTTCCCTGGCCAGTAGAGGTGTGCTGATTCACCATTTAGTTGAGACATTGAGATATGACATGTTCCACTTCAAAACTGATGTGTAAACATTCATTAATGATTACAAATAATTGCTAAAAACAGCTGCAAAGTGTGACAGGAACATAAAAGTTGCGTGTGCCACCCAGACACCCAGTAGTTTTGCTCCTACCGAGTCATCATGTTTAGAATAGAAGCCTCCTAAGTGGGGAGGTGGCTAAAGATGCTTTTAAATTAAATACAATGGTTCTTTTTGTCTGTTTTAAAACTCGTATAGCTATGAAAATAGCTCGTTTATGTGTTTTGCAGTTATTCCCCTGATAACACCGAGCTCCTAATACCTCTCCCTTTTGTTCTTTTAGGATGACACCAGCTCAAAGATGGTTATTGAGGCCATCAAGAATGACAAGCTCTCCCAAATGGAGAGAGATTTGTAAGATAAATTACACACAGACCTTATTTCACTGTGCTTTGTTTGTAATTGTTTCTGTTTTTATAGGAAAGCCCGGGCTGAGAAGTACATTACGACTGCAGCTAAGCTCATTTGCCCAGCTATGGACGCTTCATTTGCGAGTGAATTTGACTGGTCTGTATCTGCTGTATTTTTTGTCCCTCAGATAGAGCTCAGAATGGTACATTAGTCTTACTTTGTGTTGTTATTTAAAATATGTTTTAAGAAATTAGAAGTACTAGCAGCTTGCCATAGTTTTCATTTACTCAACAAAAGCTAACTTTACTTGCTAGCAGTTAAAATGGAACTGCCTTTTGAAAAGCTGCTTTCCTACTCAGCTGGTCTGTGTTTTCATAAGTGATTTAATGTGGGTCTGTACGTTTTATGGCGATGTTTAGGTGTGTTGACATGGTGAAGAATTCTCAGTATGTTCAGCTAGCCAATGATCTGGAGTTCCACAAAGCCATGACATGCCTCCGACAGAAGGATCACAATCAGGTGAGTGTTGGTGCTGCACAGTGGAGTTGTTGGCAGGCATCTTAGCTTCAGACTTGGTCAGTTCTAGTCTACGTTTTTGTTTCTAGTTTACAAAAATAGTCTTTAACAAATGAATGTTGTTAAAGAGCAAGTCACTCCAAATCAACATTTTTTTCCTGATAAACTATATAAATGGGTGTCTGATCGTGCTGCAGACACATGTAGTCAATAATTCGGCACTTTAGTGCATCTTAGTTAAAATGAAACATTCTGCCTAAAACTGTCAGCGTTGCACCGTCGTCAGGTAAAAACTCAGCACTGCATTTGAATTTAAATCTGCCGTCGCTATTGGCTAAGAGGTACACTGTGATGTTAGATGGTACATTAAGATGTCACAATGTCGTGAGTGTGTGTGTATTTGTTAGCGGCTCCGCCCTCTCGGTCTGCTAGGCAACAGCATTTGTTGCATTTTTCAAACAGGAAGTGGGAGTTGAGTAAGAATCTGGTAGGGGGTGACTTGCTCTTTAATGTGAGACGTGTACTCTGAGCTACTGGAGTGAGTTCCATACCAGCATCAGTAAATTTAAGGCTACGGGGCACAATCTTAGCAGCCCCAGATTTTGGAAAACAATAAATATTTTTTACTTTATTGATAATCAAAACAATGTATACAATTTATTGATGCAGATCTATGCAGCATTCAGTAGATTTTCACAAAGAAATGTATGATTTTCATTTCTTAAAAGAATGGACTCTTAGGGAGCATGCAGAGTATTCTACACAATATTTAAATAGAACTAAAAATGTGTTTGTTTTATTTATTGAGTTATCAGACCTCCAACTTAGATGGCTGGAACAGTCACATGACAGTTATGTAGGGATCCTTTTGTAACAGATTGAAAGGTCCAAGTGAGTGGTCCGGTTCCGTTGGGGGTGGGGGGGTGGGGGGGGTGAGTAAATGATGTTTTATATAGCGATTCTCAAGATAAAATCACAAGATGCTTCACAAAAACAAAATTAGAATATAAAAAAGATAAAAAAAAAACAATTAGAAATATTTTTTCAATGAGAAAATAAATTGTGTTAAAAAAGTAAGGATGGGAAGACAGAAAATTAATAGTAAAGAGGGAAGTCAGTAAAACCCGGGAAAGGCGGAATAAGAGCAATTCAATTTTATTTATATAGCACCAAATCACGACAAGAGTCGTCTCAAGGACCTTCACATAGTAAACATTCCAGTACAGGTCAGGTCATTAAGCCAATCAGAAAAATGTTTCCTATTTAAGGAACCCAGCAAACAAGTATGGTAGAGTGGACCGGTTTGCAACCACTCCTTAGTAAACGACACATGACAGACCACCAAGAGTGTACCAAAGGCACCTGAAAAACCAGGAGACACACAATTCTCTGGTCTGATGAGACAAAGCCTGAACTTTGTGAATACCAGGTGATACGTTTAGAGCACGTGTCAGATACAAGGCCCGTGGGCCGCGCAGAGCATTTTCATGTGGCCTGCCAGATAAATATCAAAAATATATTAAAACTGACCCGCTGGTCGATTTTACAGCAAATACTACAACTCCCACGATGCTTTGTGGCGTTAGCACGGAGCCAAACCGCCCCCTCCTTTGTGTTTTTTCCAGCGTCTGCTGCCGGTGTCTGCAGCTCCGCTGTCTCGGACAAACTAAGCACTCCTCTCTCTCAGCGCCGAGTTTACTCAGCTATTTGCCGACGTTGAAGCCCAGAAACGGAGATTTTAACTGCTCAGTAATCTGTTCACGACTGAAAGAGAAAGTTTTCCAACTAACTTCCAGACAGAGCTGATATAACTCCAGCGAGCAGCGACACGCTCAAGCCAGCATGACGCTGTGGCTGCTGTAGTTTTTATTTTTCCTCTGGTGAGCATCACAGTAAACCAGTGGAGCAAACTGAGCTTTAAATATGTTGGTTTGATGCTCTTTTTCTGCTCCAAAACATGAAAGTTAACAGGTGAGATGTTGCATTTTCATTTAAGATAAAATGATATTTTTATGTTGTTGTTGGCCCGTGAGAAAAGATTTAACCTACAGTAAACAGGAAGTGGAAAGGCTGCAGATAGATAAATAGAATAGAAAATCCCTTTATTGTTCCTCAGTGGGGAGCATTGATGACACGTATTACAGGAGAAAAAAGGAGAATAAAAAATAAGAAAAATGAATAAACAAGAAAACATAAATCCTGAATAGATTTATAAAATGATGATTATACCACAAGTAATGAATACCACTGATGCCTTTATTTAAAACTGACTTGCTCGTGTGTCATTTGGTTATTCCACATTCAGTATTAATGCAGAAATATGTTTGTTTCCTAATTAAAAGGTTCAAAATTGCATTTATGTTGATAAAGAAAATGTGCAAATTTGCCGTCACTTTTTCAAAAATTATTAAGTTTGGCCCTCGACTCCGTCCCAGAGTTTCATTTCGGCCCCGTGTGAGTTTGAGTTTGACACCCCTGGTTTAGAGGAAAACATCCCAATAGTGAAGCATGGTGGTGTTTAAAAGAGGAAAGGGCCAAACTGACCAAAGACAGAGATGCCAAGGTTGTGGCATCGTGTTCAAAAGGACTTGAGGGTGTAATGGCTGTGAATGCTTAACGTACATGTTAGTTCTCCGTTTTTCTGATTCTGAATACATCTGTGAAAATCTCACTCCTTTCCAGGTGCACTGTGTTACTGAACCTGGCTCTGGCTGCAGAATTCGTAATCACATATTTATGTTTTCCTTAGAAAATTTCATGAATGTTTTTAGTCATTTGTAAAGTGCTTTCTTTTCCATTCTTAAAAAAATAAAAATTTATTTTATGCTTATTTCTGATTATAATCAGTCACCCTGAGTTTTTCATGCAGGCTGAACATGAAAATAGTCTCCTACACCTACCTCGTGCATTAGCTTTTGATAGAAAATAGACGGTGAAACTCTAGGATTAGAAAATCCTGACAGATCTATGTCACCCTGTCACTGACATTCATGGACTCACCCATCTTGACTCACAACAGGGAAGGCTGTTATTGGTTTAGCGTCCAGGAAACAGCAGAGCACGTTTCTACTAGTACAAGCTAACCGTTAGCATTAGCAACTCCACCACACAGAAGACCTCCTCCAGGATTGTGTTATTTGTGGAGATAAAACATAAACGTTGCAAGGCAATGAGAGAGTCGCATTGCTGTTACCCAATCTGAGGCGAGATGTCCAATCAGGAAATAAGAGTTGTGTTGTGCCACTCTCTGCTGCAGCAGACTTGTCCGTGACGATCGAAGCCCTTGTGGGCTTTTTTTGACCCGATTACGACAAGCAAGGAATTCATTCTTACTGGAGACAAGTGTCTCACGCCTTTAAAAGTACACTGCTCACAAAAATTAAAGGAACACCTTAAAGAAACACATCAGATACATCAGATCTCAGTATGAAGTTGGATATCTATACAAATAACGGCAGGGCAATGTCTTAGGAACCAAAGGATGCCGAGTCTTTTACTGGAAATAAAAGTTATCAGCCTACAGAGGGCTCAGTTGTGTAGACACCCTAAAATCGGAGTGAGATGAAGACGTGGCAGGCTAGTCCGTTATTTCAAAAACTTTATTTCTGCAACTCTAATTGCTTTTCAGCATCTTGTGTGGCCCCACGAGCGTGTGTGCATGCTTGACAACGTCGGGGTTCCTAATGAGACAACGGATGGTGTCTCGTGGCATTTCCTCCCAGATCTGTGTGAGGGCGTCCCTGAGCTCTTGTACAGTCTGAGGAGCAACCTGGCGCCGCCTAATGGACCGGAACATAACATCCCACAGATGTTCTATTGGGTTTAAGTCAGGGCATCGTGAAGGCCATTCAACTGTTTCAGTTCCTTCATCCTGCAGGTACTGCCTGCATACTCTTGCCACATGAGGCCAGGCATTGTCGTGCATCAGGAGAAAACCAGAACCTACTGCATCAGCGTAGGGTCTGACAAAGGGTTCAAGGATTTCATCTCCATACCTTATGGCAGTCAGAGCACCATTTAGGCAGTAGAGGTCTGTGCGTCCCTCCATGGATACGCCTCCCCAGACCGTCACTGACCCCCCACCAAACCTGTCATGTTGAACGACGTTGCAGGCAGCATAACGATCTCCTTGTCCTCTCCAGACTCTTTCACGTCTATCACAGGTGCTCAGGGTGAACCTGCTCTCGTCTGTAAAAAGTACAGGGCGCCAGTGGCGGACTTCCCGGTTCTGGTGTTCTTGAGCAAATGCCAGTCGAGCTCTACGGTGCTGGGCAGTGACACATGGCCCACTACAGGACGTCGGGCCCTCAGGCCATCTTCATGAAGTCTGTTCCTGATTGTCTGGGTAGAGACGTTCACACCAGTGGCCCTCTGGAGGTCATTCTGTAGGGCACGAGCAGTGCTCAGCCTGTTCCACCTTGCACAAAGGACCAGGTATCGGTCCTGCTGATGGGTTGTGGACCTTCTACGGCGCTGTCCAGCTCTCCCAGAATAACCGCCAGTCTCCTGAAATCTCCTCCATGTTCTGGAGATTGTGCTGGGAGACACCTTAAACCTTCTTGCTGCAGCACGTGTGGATGTGCCATCCTGGAGAAGTTGGACAACCTGTGCACCTTCTGTAGGGTTAAGGCATCGCCTCATACCGCCAGCAGGGGGCCAAAACCAGCACGAGTGGAAAACCAGCCGAAAGAGATCAAGAGGGAGAAACGTGACCTCTACATGTTGAACCAGTCCTGTTGTGAGGGTTTTGTAATTGTTGCCCCTTTAGTGCACCTGTCGTTACGTCCATGAACGCCAGTACAGCTGACAGTGATTAACAATGCCCTCAGCTGCTTAATCAACCAGGAAATTATCAGACAGGTTTAACTGATTTCATGCCAGGCCCAATAAAAAAGTGTTCCTTTCATTCTTGTGAGCGGTGTATTATAGTCTTACACAACAGGTCATCTGTAACTGCTGCTTAGTCAGAGCAGTACTGAACTCAACATGTTCCTTTCTCATTACACCCCCTTTCCTCCCCATGTGCATGCCTAAGGTCGAGGTATGTTTCCATCATATTTGTCTTCTTGACTTATGTGTTACAAGCTCTGCTTGCTGTTTTCCAAATAGTGTCACTACCAGCAGAACATCAGGAGACAGAAAGGAAAAGCTTTATCCAAGAGTTTAGCAGCTCTAAAGGCAGGGTGTTTATAATTAGTGAATATGCTTGAATTTTACTGTGGGATTTTCAAGGCTTTTAAATTAATTTGATTTTTGAAAAAGTGCAAGAAACTAACTGGAAATGTTTCATATAACCAGACCTGATTAAAGCTGGTGCTCACTAAAGCCACCGATACACAGTAAGATGTGTGCTAGCAGCTAGTACCGCCAGGTATTAGCTGTGTGTTAGATAGTGTTAATGACTAATGAGTTGGTTTTATGTAACTAACTAACTAACCTGCTGCTGCATAAAATCACTTCCCTCACATTATCCTGGTTTGTGTCAGGCCAAGGAGATACTGAAGACATTTGAGAAGAAGGACAGCAAAATGAAAAGTGCCGCAGCCACTAATCTCTCTTTCATTTACTTCCAGGTAAGTTAACTTTATTTATGTAGCACTAGAATCACAACGTGCTTCACATCGATCAAAGCAAAATTAAACTAAGTCATAAAATCATAATGATCTCTAATCTAGAAAAAGATTAACATCAGAAAAAATAAAGTCATGAAATTATACAATTTCATAAACGGATAAAAGATGATTACAAGTTTGAGTTAAAAATAATGAAATAAAAGATTTTGTCATGATCACAGGAAGCTTCCTGAGCCGCAGGAAAGAATCACAAGCAGGACGTAAGAAATAAGAAAAATGTTTTATCAAAGGGAAAATAAACAAACTGAGGACGCAGCTCCAAACGGGTGCTGGAAAAACAAACGGGAACTAAGGGCGCAACTTCAGCGAAGCAGGAACTGGGCTGGTGTCTAAAAGTGGAGAGCACACAGGGTTAAAACCAGGAACGGGAGAAGAAGAAGACATTTCTGTAGCGCCTCTCCAGATAAAAGTCACGAGGCGCTTCACAAAAACTAAAAATGTAAAAATATAAAAAAATAATTTAGAAAATTGTTAAAAATATATTTAAAATGAGCAAAAAATAGAAAATTGTGATTAAAAATGTAAAGAAAGAAAGAGAGAGCGTGAATAGGAAAGAGGGAAACCAGTGGATCCTGAGGAAGGTGGAATAGGTGGGGAGAGCAGAATAAAGAGAGAGAGGTGAAGAAGGTCATACAAAAGCCAGCTTGAACAAGTGAGTCTTCAGGAGACCACAGCACAGTAGAACGGGTCCTCACGCCCGACTTTCATCAGCTGCAGTTCAAAGGAAGCAAAGCGACCAGAGGTTGTAGAGCTACATGAAAGACGGTCTCTGAAAACAACAGCTAGGCCTCCACCACGACCAGAACCGCGGGGCTGGCTAAGAGAGAACCCGATGATAACAGAGGGAAGGGGAATCTTACCGAGCCAGAACCGAGGATGGATGTGAGGAGAGGGTAGGTCAGGTCTGGTCGATGGTCGAGAGGGATGAGGCAGGAGATATGTGGCTGACGGGTATCCAGGGCAGGTGGCCAGGGGAGATGAGTGATGATGTTGAAACACATGCTCCAGGGAAGCAGAAACTCAGGCAGAGATCTGGAGGCAGGACAGGTAGTGTAACACAGGACAAGAGTGCAGAATTTTACTTGAGTTCAGGACGAGGCTAGAAGCTACCCAGGTGAGAGTATCAACCGGCGCCGGAGTGTGGAAACACCACTCCTTAAGTCCCCTGGCCTTGCTGACGGAAATTCAGCTGCAGCTGAGGCTCTCCGACACGCCCACCAGCAAAGAGACTCAGAGGGACAAAACAGCAGAGCCGTGACAGATTTAGGTAAACGCAGCTTTAAATAAAAGGTCTTAGCTGTTTTGTGTCCAGACTGTCAAGGATAAAGGAAGATCAGTCCAACAGTCTGGAAGGAGCGATCACCTCGACTTTTATATCTGGTGTTTGGAACTTCTAGAAGGTTCTGGTGTGTGAAAGTGTTATTTCAGCTACTAAAAATTAACACAAAAAAATAGACACTTATGACAAATATACAACTGAAATGAAGAGTTGGATGTTTTTTTAAAATGAAATTAAAATGACATTTACTTGCAGAGATCATTAAAGCTGTGGGATGGCTAATGTAACTTTATTTTCCTTCCCACATTTCACTTCATGCAGGAGAAGGACTTCGACCAGGCCGACAAGTATGCTGACCTAGCCATGAGTGCTGACCATTACAACCCAGCAGCCCTCACCAACAAGGGAAACACGGTGTTTGTCAAACAGGATTATGAAAAGGCTGCAGAGTTCTACAAGGAAGCTCTAAGGAATGATTCCTTATGCACAGAGAGCCTTCATAACCTAGGTGACACTTCAGTTTAGCAGTTCTATTTCAAATTGGTGCTGTATTTGTTATGATCAGACTTGGAGACCCGTGAGGACAACCAGACACAGTAAGCGCATTAAGTCTTTTATTTACAGAGAAGTAGCGTTACCAGAGACTGATGGGGCTGAGGCAGGGCGGTGAGGAGGCGTGGGTCAGAGCCAGAGAGATCTGTAATAAACACAAGGGGAAGGCGAGAGGCAAAATCCAGAGACGGGTCGGCGTTCGGTAAACCAGCTAGACTGAGAGGCAGAGTCATAGACAGGGAGCAGACAAGAGGCTAGGTCGAGAAGCAGATCCAAGGTCCGTATGCCAGGCAGGCTTGTAATCAAAGCAACAGGATCCAAACGGGTGAGACAAGGTGGAAGGTCTGTGAGACAAAACAAGTTCAGGATACGTGGTTCAGGCAATACAGAAATGCTGGAGAATTTACTTGCTTTGGGCGTTCAATAACCTGGCGCTGGCTTGGTGTTGGTCCAACAGATCTATGGAGAGCGTTGCAGGTGGATCTGATGAGGAGTTAATCTGAGACAAGTGGTTTGGATGAGGTTGATGGTGAGCTGGTAGTGGTTGCTGGGGAAATGGAGCTTGGCTTGAGCTATTTCGGAACATCATAGCAACCTCCAGGAAGAGGTGGAGATCATTGATGAGTAGATGGGTGTGTGGGATTGCTCTCTGGATAAAAGAGGTCTTTCACTGAAAAAACATGTTTAATGATTATTTCTGAACATAACTGGTCACTGAGTGTTTCATGCAGACTGAACATGAAATTGTCTCCTGCATCAGCTTCTTAAACAAAATAGATGGTGAATCTCTAGAATTAGAAAAGCCTGACAGATCTACGTCACACTGTCACTTTCATGGACTCACCATCTTAACTCAGAACGTGGAAGGCTGTTGTTAGTTTAGCGTCCAGGAAACAGCAGAGAAAGTCTCGGCTAGTATAAGCTAACCATTAGCATTAGCAACTCCACTAATAGCAGAACTCCTCCAGGATTGTTACTAATGAAGATAAAATATCAACGTTGCAGAGCAGAGTCAGTGGTAGAGTCGCGTAGTTGATAGCTAATCAGACAACATGTTCAAGTATCAAGGAGTGAAGCCTAATCTATACTTCTGCGTCGGGACGGGCATACGCTGTGTCAGCAACGGGCTTGTGGAGGAAGACGAAGACATGCCCCAAATTGTAACGGTTTGTCAAAAACAGAAAGTTTTTTGCTGAGACTGCAAGCTTGTGATTGGTCTGGTCACTGCTTCCTGTTTTTATCCTTCAACACTACGTCAGCATGTCGACAGCATCGTCTTTGCCGCTTCAAAAGATAGAGATATTTAGCGGCAGACACGGAACATTGAAAAGTCTGAAAAATGTATTATCACTAAATGTGATTCAGTAGAAGTCTTACTTGGTCTGCGTTGTGCCTGAAAAAGTTCATTGAACGATCGTTCGTTGTTTTGGTGAACGTGAACTGAACTCGTTCGTATTTTGCCTTACAAACTTTAAATTGAGTGTGTTTGTTCTGACGTGCGTTAACAGGTTTATGAATGTGTTCTTTCACCGTTATTTACTTTATAAATAGTAGAACCTACAAATGCAGCCACCATAGGCACTAGGGGTTAGTGCGCCATTTACCATTCTATGCCTATGCTATTTGGAGGACGGACATCATGCGTTCTTTTTACCTCGGAAAATATACAATTGTACATAACATTGATTTTAGACGCACCCTTAAAATTTTAACCTGTGAAATAAACACGTTTCCATCAAAGCTACTAAGGAGCTGCTATATTCCACCTCAAAGTGGAATTAAAACACATTCTCTGACTTCGGGAGGGTTCCAGTTCATTATTTCTACTTGGAAGATGAAATTTACGAGTATGGAATTAACTGGAATGAACCGGGGAAAAACAAACCTGAAAATACTAGACTCAGAGTCGCAGCGGTAATATTTAACTATTTGTTTATTTATTAAATCATTTGGAGCTGATTGCTGGTCTTTATGACCCAAACTCTATATTTTTTTCTTTTTCTTTGGGCAAAGAAGTTAGAAAATTAACAGAATTTGAGAAGTCCCTTAATTTGAAGATAATTCAATATTTAGCTCTCTGAATATTAAAATTCGAGGTACGTCCTTGTCTCCTATCTCAGTCTGGTTCTTCCCTCTGGTTGTTTAATGATTCACCTTTTTATGAAAAGCACTCAGTTTTTCCTCATGTTATTGACTATATATATATATATATATATATATATATATATATATATATATATATATATATATATATATATATATATATATATATATATATACAGGTGCTGGCCAGTAAATTAGAATATCATCAAAAGGTTGAAAATATTTCAGTAATTCCATTCAAAACGTGAAACTTGTACATTATATTCATGCAATGCACACAGACCAATGTATTTCCAATGTTCATTACATTTAAATTTGATATTCATAAGTGACAACTAATGAAAACTCCAAATTTGGTATCTCAAAAAATTAGAATATTCTGAAAAGGCTGAATATAGAAGACACCTGCTGCCACTCTAATCAGCTGATTTACTCAAAACACCTGCAAAGGCCTTTAAAAGGTCCCTCAGTCTTGTTTTGAAGGCACCACAATCATGGGGAAGACTTCTGACTTAACAGCTGTCCAAAAGACAATCATTGACACCTTGCACAAGGAGGGCAAGACACAAAAGGTGATTGCTAAAGAAGCTGGCTGTTCGCAGAGCTCTGTGTCCAAGCACATTAACAGACAGGCGAAGGGACGGAAAAAATGTGGTAGAAAAAAGTGTACAAGCTCTAGGGATAACCGCACCCTGCAGAGAATTGTGACGACAAACCCATTCAAAAATGTGGGGGAGATCCACAAAGAGTGGACTGCAGCTGGAGTCAGCGCTTCAAGAACCACCACGAGGAGACTCATGAAAGACATGGGATTCAGGTGTCGCATTCCGTGTGTCAAGCCACTCTTGAACAAGAAACAGCGCAAGAAGCGTCTCGCCTGGGCCAAGGACAAAAAGGACTGGACTGATGCTGAGTGGTCCAAAGTTATGTTTTCTGATGAAAGCAAGTTCTGCATTTCCTTTGGAAATCAAGGACCCAGAGTCTGGAGGAAGAGCGGAGAAGCACAGAATCCACGTTGCATGAGGTCCAGTGTACAGTTTCCACCGTCAGTGATGGTGTGGGGTGCCATGTCATCTGCCGGCGTTGGCCCACTCTGTTTCCTGAGGTCCAGGGTCAATGCAGCCGTCTACCAGGAAGTTTTAGAGCACTTCATGCTTCCTGCTGCTGACCAACTTTATGGGGATGCAGACTTCACCTTTCAACAGGACTTGGCACCTGCACACAGTGCCAAAACCACCAGCACCTGGTTCAAGGACCATGGTATCCCTGTCCTTGATTGGCCAGCAAACTCGCCTGACCTTAACCCCATAGAAAATCTATGGGGTATTGTGAAGCGGAGGATGCAATACGCTAGACCCAACAATGCAGAGGAGCTGAAGACGACTATCAGAGCAACCTGGGCTCTCATAACACCTGAGCAGTGCCACAGACTGATCGAGTCCATGCCACGCCGCATTACTGCAGTTATTGAGGCAAAAGGAGCCCCGACTAAGTATTGAGTGCTATACATGCACATTCTTTTCATGTTCATTCTTTTCAGTTGGCCAACATTAGAGAAACAAACATTTTTTTCATTGGCCTTTAGAATATTCTAATTTTCTGAGATACCAGATTTGATGTTTTCATTGGTTGTCACCTATAAATATCAAAATTAAACGTAATAAACATCGGAAATACATTGGTCTGTGTGCATTGCATGAATATAATGTACAAGTTTCACGTTTTGAATGGAATTACTGAAATATTTTCAACCTTTTGATGATATTCTAATTTACTGGCCAGCACCTGTATATATATATATATATATATATATATATATATATATATATATATATATATATATATATATATATATGATCTAGTTTGTTTTTGGAACAGTGAACTTAGTTCGAAGTGTTTTAATGATGAACTAAAAAAATGAACTAGTTTGTTGTCAAATGAACGAACTGAACGTTGAACTAGGTCGTTTTTAAAACGAACTTTCCCAACACCATATTTGGTTGCTCGGTCTTTTAGAGGCTAATAAGGAGCCCGGATCTCCTCCCCTTCGGTCAGCTCAGGGGTCCCTGAATGGAGCTATAAAAGTTATTTTCTAATCTGCTTTGCCTTACGCTCTAACTCACACATATGTTGTATTTCAGTTTAAATGAAAAGTAATAATGTGAGTTTCGACTAAATCTGTCACCTACTTTGAGATTTATTAGCTTGTAAATATTCGTAAATAAAAAGACTACAAATCAGACGCGTCATGTATGACGTCATATCCGAATCTCTTCTCCCCAGCGCGGCTGCTACTTACCACATGACCAGATTTATAGTGGTTTTCTCCACGTTTAATGCTACTTCTGTCATCCTGGAAGTGAAGCTCGCTAAACTACTCTTCTTCTCCGTGCCTGGTTCGATGATGTCAATTTAATGAGAAGAACATTTGTAGTTCTGGAATAATTTTACTCAAAACCTAAAATAACTTTGTTCCCTTGTTGAAACATAAGCAGCAAAATGTGGATCACTCATGGACATCAAATGTGAAATCCATGACACAAATTACATGGGATCAGAAAATAACTTTAATCTTCTCATAGACTCCCATAAATGGTTTTTGGGCAGTTGGGGACCCATGTTCTGGAAGTAGATGTGCGTGACTTAGGCTCCCCATAGTGTTAGCCGTCATCATCATCAGCATTTATTTATATAGCACCTTCTGCTACCTTTGTAGTAGCCCAAGGTGCTGTACACTTTCACGATTAAAAAAGGAAGCAAAAGCACAGTAGAAGAATATTAAAACACTCAGACAATAAAAAAGTTCAATAAGTTAAAATAAAAGTGAACTTTAAAAGTTGTAAGACAATAAAGTCATGAAATCACAATAAAACCAAGACTGACTCAACGGGAAAAGGCCAACTGGTTAAAATGTGTCTTTACACGAGACTGGTGGGATGGTGCCTACCACACAAGCCAAGGCGACACGTTCCATAGGCTAGGGGTCACCACAGAGAATGCACGATCACCCGAGCGTGGCAATCCCAAGAGTTCCCTGTCTCTATCTATGGAGCAGGTCCTTATACACCCGATACTCAACTGGGAGCCAGGGAATTTGGGCAAATATATGCTCCCTCCTCCTAGTACCAGACAAGAATCTCGCCAGTGAGTTCTGACAAGTTGAAGGCGGGCAAGTGCACGTGAGCTCACACCAGCATACATAGTATTACAGTAGTCAAGGTGTGACGATACAAATACACGTCGAACAGTTTCTAAATGGGCTCTCAACAGCATTGGCTTTATCGTAGTGATCCACTGGAGGTGGAAGAAACAAGAACATACAACCATCTAAATGTGTGCATCAAACCTGAGAGCAGCATCAGATTTTACCCCTAGCTTTGTGACAACTGTCGTCACACGAGGGGCTAACGAAGAGAGGTCAACCTCAGGGGCTGTACAAGCAGTCCTGCCAGTGATGATTACTTTTACCTTTTAATTCATCCCAGGTCTGGCCTACAAGAGACTAAACCACCTGGAGGAAGCCCTGGACTGCTTCCTGAAGCTTCATGCCATCTTAAAGAACAGTGATCAGGTCATGTACCAGCTGGCCGATATGTATCCTGCTCATAAGAAATCTTGATGCATTTTTCTCTCCACTAGATTAAAAGTTTCACACTTGTTTTGAGATACTTAATGTGGCCCTAATGGTTTTTATTCAGGTATTCAAAACGGCATCTCTGTTAGCACCATGTCTGCATTTGTTGGTCCTTAATAACCTTGGACTCAGCTACGAGCTGATGGGCGATCGTCAGCAGGCAATCAAGTGGCTGATGCAGGTCATCTGTGTGACCCCGACTGACCCCCATGTCCTGGCCAAACTAGGAAAGCTGCACAATGACGAGGGGGACAAATCTCAGGCTTTGCATTACTATAGTGAGGTATGCAAAATAAACACCTGACACTGTGACTGAACAGAAAGGCGAAGGGATGTTTGTTTGATCTTTTCTGATGACCAAGACGGGAAAAGAAGGTGTCCGAGGAGATTTAACAAACGCTGCACAAATCATTTATTCTGTACTTCCAGGTTCCCAGATTCTCCTGAGTGTTGATAAATAAATGTTTATTTTCACTCAAGAACCGATTTCCTCAGGAACACATCACTAGTGGTGGGTTCAGTGGTGAACCTCATCTCCTTTTGCTTTCAAAATGCCTGAATTCTGAAGCATTTCGGTCCGGTTGAGCTCGTGGTCGTGTTCTAGAAACCAGTTAGTGATGATCTGAGCTTTGTGACACGGTGCATGATCCTGCTGGAAGTAGCATCAGAGGATGGGTCCATGTGGTCATAAAGGGATGGACATGGTCAGCAGCAACACTCAGGTGGGCTGTGGGGTTAAACCAGACACATCAGACCAGGAGAGGTGTTTCCAGTCTTGACTGGTCCAGTTCTGGTGGTCCTGTGGGAATTGTAGCCTCAGGTTCTTGTTAGCTGACAGGAGAGACACCTGCTGTGGTCTTCTGCTGCTGGAGTCCATCTGGAGCAGCGGGTGAGGTCCTGTAGACCTTGGTAGAAACCAGTGACTATTAGAGCTGCTGTCGTGTCATTTAGTTCTGTCAGTTTGGCCGTTCCTCTTGACGTTATCATCCACACAACAGCTGCTGACTGATTTTCTCTTCGCCGTAAGTCCCAGAGATGGCTGTGGACTCAAATCCAAGTAGATCAGCAGACTCTGAAATGCTCTGCCGGTCTGTTCCCCAAAACCACACGTTTAAAATCCCTTAGATCTCCTTTCTTCTTCATGCCCATGCTCAGCTAGAACTTCTACGCGTTGTCGTCACCACATCTACATGCCTAAACACACAGAGTTGCTGTCTTCTTGCTGGCTGGTTAGGTATTTATGTTAACATGTTAATCCGGTGTAACTCATTAAGGGGCCAATGATTGGAAGTGTAAGCAGGTGCATTACACCTTTGTCAAATGAAAATCACATCATGCCAAAAAATATCTGCAGTGTACATCAGCCATCTGCCGCCCTGTTGACCTTTGGCCCACGTTAGTGTAACGTGTCCTTTTCAGTCCTTCAGGTTGTTTCCCTGCAAGATTGATGTGATCGAGTGGCTTGGGGTTCACTACATCGAGAGTCAGTTCTTTGAAAAGGCCACCCAGTACTTTGAAAGAGCCACACTCATACAGTAAGTTTCCACAGTGTGCACGTATGCTGGAGGATTGTGACAGGACTAAGCGGATCAGTGTTGCTGATGCAAACCCATTTGAAGGTTGTTGTTTTTTAAACTCGTTCTACGGTCTCTTCTGGGCTTGAGCCCTACTCAGGAAAGCCGGATGAAATCTGTCTGAGCTAGTAGTTTTGATTTGTTTCAGTGTACAGTACTTTAAACAGGTAGCTCCTTGTTATTTATGAAGTCACCACAGTTCAATGGAACAGTTTATAGCATGTTAGGTTTTTATGATGCACATTGTTCCGTTATACAGATTCTGGCTTAAACGTCACACTTCAACACATAATAAAATTGTACTTGTGTTTTTGTAAACAAGGTCAAATGAAAAGTGGACGTAATTTGTTTAAATCTTGAGAGGGTTTGTAAATTCTGCTCTTGTGAAAATTCAGTATTTTGGGAACAGAATGTCCCCGATGATGAGCGGCACAGCTCCGCTCCGTTAGCTTTATTCTCAGCCAGTGTGTCTCCTTGCTCATCAGGAAACCAAAGTGTTGCCCTAAAAAGACTAGTTGGTTTTCTAATGGCATGTAAACGTGTTAGTCTGGCTGAAGGCCAACTGGTTCTAGTCGAGCTGAATCACCCAGATAGTGTGGTAGCAGTCTGACTACGTTCTGCATGGAAATCAATCAATCAATACTTTATTGATCCCAGAGGGAAATTAGAGTTTCAGTACACACACTTCAGAGATCAGACATACATGGGCAAGACACATGACAAGAATTGGTGACTGTGGTCATTCGCAACCGGAGTCGCTCTACCTGAATGGAGATCAGAGGGTTACATGAGGATATGTTCAGGTGGAGGGAAAAAAAGGCACTTCAGAGTTACCCTCCACCGGGAGGGCAGCTTTGCTCTGCAAAAAACACCTCAAACAAATATGCAACAGATTTCAGACATAACACAACATAACATGAGACTCCAATAGGAAGGTGGGGGGGGCTGGGATCCTGTTTCCCCCAGCGAGAGCAGCCATCTACGGCGCTCATCTACTGAACAGTCACAGGTGGGAGGGAGATCTTGGGAGAAGCAGAGTACATTGACTCCTACAGTTGACGACCTTGCCTGGCTGAAGTCCACCAATCCGTAGGCGGGGGGTGGGGGGATGGGGGGGATAGGTCAGGTTTTCACAATATCTGTCTGCATTCCTTCGTGGGGGTTTTAGTTGCTTGCAGCTCAAGGCTACCAGGGCGTCAGATTCAGATAACAATACTTTGTTTGGGTCAGGCTGAGATCATTTTCCTCTCTGCCTTCAGTCTTTAAACTGATCATTTCCAGTCCTTCAGTGAAGCCAATTTTGGGTTTTTAAACCTGTCCATACCGTCCGGTGACTCTCTCTGGCTGGCTGGCTAGCCTGTATTTGATATAGCGCCTTCTAGAGTCCTGGAACCCCCCAAGGTGCTTTACAACACAATCATTCACACCCTGGTGGTAATGAGCTACATTGTAGAGGACTGACAGAGGTGAGTCTGCCGTACACACACACACACACCAGTCCCTCTGACCACCAGGCAAGTCGAGTTAAGTGTTTTGCCCAAGGAGACAGCGACAGACTGAGTGGGGCTCAAACCTACAACCTTCCGATTACGAGGCGAGCACTCAACTCCTGTGCCATCGCCGAGTACATTAAATATAAGAAATCATGACAGGTGTCCTTCAAATTGTCTAGCTGGCTAGGAGGTTCCATTAAAATGACTTTTATCAAGTATCTAAACAAGATGCCCCGTGCTCTCCATCACAACCCATGCCCAACCAAAAAGTCTACATCATTGTTCTCTGGACAGTTTTAGGGTTATAAAAAACTGTTTAAAATATTGACTTTGCTGTCAGGTCCAAATGAAGCAGGTGTGGTTGTGTAAAGCGGTTTTAATGTTATGGTTGACTGTCTCTTCTCTCCATGTCTTTTAGACCCACCCAGGTGAAATGGCAGCTAATGGAAGCGAGCTGTTACAGAAAGAGCGGTGAGCATGAATCTTGTTTCCTGTTAGCTCATTTACAATGTGAAGTGTCATAAGTCGGTAAAGTTCTTGCCCTCTTTATTTTGTTGCAGGAAACTACCAGAAAGCTCTAGAAACCTACAAAGAGATCCATCGCAAGTTTCCAGAAAATGTGGATTGTAATGTATCTTTGATGTTCTTGAAAAAAGACGTTCAGGCAAACTGCATTTAGAAAAATACAATTGAAAGGTTCAGTCCCCTTTTTCAAGCAACAGATGTCACAGAAAACGTTATAACACCACACAACAGATACTGTGGACCATAAAATATAGTGTTGTCTTATGCTTTTGACCAATTTACACGTTGTTTGTTACTTTTCTGCTATATTTCCAAACGTAACACTCCTAAGTAACCATAAAACAATTTAGTACGCTAGCTAATATGTTATTAGCTAGCGTACTAAATTGATGAAGAACGAAGCTTTCAGGTTTTCTGGTTTATTCCTGTCTTCAGAATCATCACACTCACTGTCACCAACAACCTTCCAGAACCTCAACAGACACCGTTCTTTTCTTTGTGATACAAACACACACGCACACACACACACACTCACACACACACACACACACACACACTCACACACACACACACACTCACACACACACACACTCGTGCCACAGCCGACAGTGAACAGACGCCGTTCACATACAGCAAACCTTCGGAGCCTACCCCGAACCGGACCTCCTCCCACTGAACAGAACATGTTAAGCAACTTCTTACATAAAATTTGCAAACACAAGCAGAGTTGTGTTCCATCAGAGGGCCTTGCTTTGGTTTTGCTTGCTGTTTAACTGCTCTGAGCCAAGATTGTGTGATTTGTTCACAGAGAAGTCATAGCCCTTTAACTTTTACACATTTTGACACCTTACAACCACAAACTTAAAGGTTTTAAAGAAGACGAAGAAAAGATCGTTTTTCAAGATCACTTGTGAGTCGCTTTGGACAAAAGCGTCTGCTAAATACACAAACATAAGATAAAAACCAGAAGGCGCGTCACAAAAACAAAAATGTCAGATATAAAAAATAATTTAGAAAATGATTTAAATATATTTAAAATGGGCAAAAATAGACAATTGTGATTAAAAAAGTTAAGAAAGCGAGAGAGTGAACAGGAAAGAGGGAAACCAGTGGATCCTGAGGAAGGTGGAATAGGTGGGGAGAGCAGAATAAAGAGAGAGAGGTGAAGAAGGTCATACAAAAGCCAGCTTGAACAAGTGAGTCTTCAGCTGCTTTTTAAAGGAGACCACTGAGTCCACTGATCTCAGGCTCAGGGGGAGAGAGGTCCAGAGTCTGGGGGCCACAGCAGCAGATGATCTGTCACCTTTGACCTTTAGCCTGGTGCTGCACAACCAGTAGGCTTCGATCACTGGACCTCAGGGACCTGCTGGGGGTGTAGGGACTAAGAAGATCACCAATGTAAGATGGTGCTTGTCCATGTAAGGCCCTATAGACCAGAACCAGGGGGTCTCATTTATCAAACATGGCGTAGAATCCTTACTAAAACCGTACTTAAACTCAGCAAAAAACAAAAAGTACTTACACCAAGCAGGTGTGTGATCTATCAAACATGGAGTACGCACAGCTGCACGCAATCTCCGCTTCATAAATCAGAAACTACCTAGAAAGGTTCTCAGCTGCTTTTTCGTCACATCCCGCCCTCGCCACGCCCACTTACTGCCATAAATAGTCAATGCAAAGTGCCTTGTGGACCTCATGCATATACATAAGCCGGCTTGTTGCAGCATTTCGATCACGACCGTAGATCAAGGCAGATCAAGGAAGCGCTATTTCACCGAAGCAGAAGTTGAGGTACCTGTGGGTGAGGTGGAGAAATGAAAGGAAGTGCTTTTGCAAAACAATAAGGGAAAATCCACGGAGTGGCACAGCGTTGCTGAAGCCGTCAATGCTGAGTTCTTCAGAGAGATCTGTGGCGGATATAAAAAAAAAGATCCGATCAGGATTCGATCCCCAGACTCCCGGGTGAAAGTCACGCACGCTAACCAGTCAGCCCTACTGGAGGAGCTGCAGAAATCCACAGCTCAGGCGGGACAGTCTGTCCACAAGACAACTAGGTTGTTTCCTCCATAAATATGGCCCATGTAGAAGAATGGTAAGAAGAATGCCTTTGTTGGTAGGAAGACCTAAAACGTCTGGTATGTAGGGATCAGCAAACGTAGAATAAAGTGCTCTGGTCAGACCAAACCTAAGTTGATGTTTTAGTCTGAATGCAAAGGAAAAGTATCACTGCTCATGTCGCTGGACCCCCTATACGGCAAAACCAAAATGCTCCAGAAACGCATCTCCATTCACCATCTCACACTGCACCTTTATTTCGGACTAGTGACCAGCAGCTACCAGTTACTTGTATCCATGAATCTGAGTAAGCCTGTGTGTTTTTAGGTCTGTGTTTCCTGGTGAGGCTGTCCACAGACATGGGTCTAAAGGAGGTCCAGGAATATGCCACTAAGCTGAAGAAGGCAGAGAAGATGAAGGAGATCCGAGAACAGGTGGACGTTCAAATTCTACAGCTAGATTGCTTGTTTTTACAGCCTTGTGGCAAAATGTCATCTAGAAATGTTGTTGATTTAAACAACTGACAGCAGAGCTGTGCCTGCTCACTGTTTCTTAATGAGGAAGACAAGCGGCTTGGGCAAACACTCATTCATTCACCGTAAAGAAGATGACTTACATGAGGATTAACCCAAAAAGTATTTTTGACTGTTGCGTGATATGATACGTGTTGATTATTGTCTGACCTTTAAATCAAATGAAATCCAACTTTATTCAACAAGCACTTTTCATGCAGTGAATCAACTCAGCCTTTATTTAAAAAGCACCTCACCGGCACAAGCGTGCCACCAAGGTGCTGTACAGCAAAAGAATAAAACATACTAATTCAGCAGACACGATTAAAACCAACGAGTTCAACTTACAAGATAAGAACATGTCAAACATCCACAACAGCTAGCCCACCCAAGTCAAAGCCAGATCGTAGAAGTTGGTTTTCAGCCTTGTTTTAAAAACTGCTGCTGATGGAGAGATCCTAACAGTTGGGGGCAGTGCGTTCTACTGTTTTGGGCCAGCAACGGAGAACGCCCATCACCTCTTGACTTCAGCCGAGCCGTGGGAGCCACAAGCAGCAGCTGTTCTCACAACGGAGTGTTTGAGCCGGAGCAAATGTCTGTAACAAGCTGGAGCCGATCCGTTCAGAGCCTTAGACAAGATTAAAAGAAATTCTAAAACCTACAGGTAACCAATGGAGAGTAGCCAGGGTTGGTGTCACGTGTTCATGCTTTCTTTTGCCGTCCAAGAGTCTTGGTGCAGCATTTTGGACAAGCTGCAGTCCAGCTACGGTGCCCTTACTGACACCAGTAGTCGAGGCGTGAGGTAATAAAAGCAGGAACAGTCTCAAGGTCCCGTCTGGATAAAAATGGCTTCACTTTGGTCAAACGTCTTAAATGATACAATGAAGAGGATACTGCAGCACCCACATGAGCAACTCTAAGTGCTGTACAGGATTAAAAACTTAAGCCACCACACACACACGTGCGTGTGCGCGCGCACACACACACACACACACACATGAAAGCTATAGCCTGAGTACAGATGAAATGGCCAACAAAGAAGAAGAACACACCATTTAGTTTATAGCTCAGCCTCAGTTAGAGAAACTGAGAATAGTTATTGTCATGGAGTTTATCAATAACCCCATTTCCTATAGTAGAGAGAGAGGAGGAGACAATGAACAGACAAGCCAAACAGTTATAACTGTGGCACAATGCACTAGACAACATACCTATCTCTTTGCTTCTAACACTGGAGTTAACCAACAACGAAACCAGTCCTAGTTATAAAAATAATATTTCAACTCCACAGTAGGGTACGGTTGCTTCATCAACAATGTACCACGTCACCCAATAATGCTGTAGAAGTGAGTTCTGCTAATTCTAAAGAGAGCAGGGCCAAGCAGCTGTGTCAGCGCTATCGTCTCACTTGTGCCCGAGGCCTGTTAGAACGCCTGTTTACTTTCTGATACGACCTTGCTGTTTAACCCAGACACAGAGGAGAGTGAAACAGTTTCCAGAACAGTTATGATCAACAACATTTACAGAAACCTGATTGGTTGTTTGGTCCGTGATTGCACCAATACCAAGCAGCATTTGTCCTGGACCATGAACTCACCGTTGACAGGTCGTTAACACTGGTAATACCAGACTTTCTCCATGAAACCTTTATGTACATACTTTAAACATTTGTTCTGATTATTGCAATTCTTTAAGACCATTTAAAATCATCCAGATTCAGTATCAACACTTCAGAGCTGCAGGTCTGCATGTCAATCTTTATTGGCACAATGAACTACCTGAATGTTAATCTGGCCGCCTCCCTAATCCATGTCTGCTTCAAACAGCCTCATATCTTTATGTACATAACTGTTGCATGAGATCTAGGTTATTAAACTCTTTGTAGCTGGCCCCACACAGACCAGTCACCAGCTCACTTCTGTGATCAGAATGACTCTAGTATTCTAAACCTAGCTTGTTCAGAGATAACAAATAAGATGTTAGTAGTTGATTGCCCTCTTCAGATAAACCCTTTACATAATGACCACAGTCTGAGCTCCAGGTTTTCATGACTTTAACCCTCAGTGACTTACTTTCATCTATTCCTGCTGATTTACAGATGAAAGCAGATGCTCAACAGCTGTTTTACACCTGCCTGTCGGTAATCTATGCTCCTCAAAGACCGCATTGGTTTTCAAAAAGAGGTTCACATGTGGAAATTAGGATTATTCTGGGTCACCTTCAACACCTGATTAGTTAAGTTGCACTGATTAATATAATCTGTGCTACTGTGTAAAATTTATATCCATCCGTTTTCTTCTGCTTATCTGGAGTCGGGTCGCTGGGGCAGCAGGCTAGGCTGAGAGGCCCAGGCTTCCCTCTCCCCAGCCACGTGGGCCAGCTCCTCCGGGGGAATCCTAAGGCGTTCCCTGGCCAGCAGAGAGACATAGTCCCTCCAGTGTGTCCTGGGTCTTCCTTTAGGTCTCCTCCCAGTTGGACGTGCCCAGAAAACCTCACTACCTCCTAATCAGATGCCCCAGCCACCTCTACTAGCTCTCTACCCCCCCGAATGACCAAGCCTCTCACCCTTTCACCCTACAGAGAAAACTCATTTCAGCCACTTGTTTCCATGATCTCATTCTTTCAGTCACCTCTCCAAGCTTGTGACCATAGGTGAGGGTGGGACTGTAGATGGAGCGGTAAATCGAGAGCTTCGCATTCCGGCTCGGTTCTCTTCTCACCACCACAGGACCAGTACAACGCCCGCATCACTGCATACACATCACCTATCTGCCTATTGACCTCGCCCACCATCTTCTCCTCACTTGAACTGAACAAGACCCCAAGATACTTAAACTCCTCCCGTTGGGGCAGGACCTCATCCCTGAACCGGAGATAGCATTCCACCCTTTTCCAACTCCTTTGGACCTAAGGCCATTTCAGTGACCTCAGCCCCAGAGATTGGAGAGTCCATCCCAAAATCCCCAGACACTGCTTCCTCACTGGAAGACGTGCCAGTGGAATTGAGGAGGTCTTCGAAGTACTCTGCCCACGGATCCACAGCGTCCTGAAGTTCCAGCAATGAAAACACACCTACAGCTAAATTACTTAACAGCTGATGTCAAAAATAACAGTCGTGTTCTTACACACCTAATATTAAAAGGTCCTCCTACATGTTGCTAGTGCAGGTGACGTTTATGCGTTTAGATAACTGTGTAATGCAACATTGATGCCACCGGGTGGCAGCAACACACGGTACTTGCTGAGCGGAGTGTGCTCAGACAAGTTTTTAGCCCAGCAGTGAGACGCCACTGGATTACTCAAGCTGCAGCCTCTTCAGTAAGGCCCTTGTTTTAGATTCATGGGTTTCTTGAATATAAATACAAGTTGTTATAATTAATAAATACGTTAAGAATTCTGTTCATTTTTGCTTAACTTGAGTACCAACGTGATTTTTCACATTTCTCCTCTTCCTACACTTTTCCTTTGTCGTGGCAGAAGGTGAAGTCAGGACAGGGGAGCACAGCGGGAGGTCGGAGAGAAGGCAGTGGAGGAAGTGCTGGTGAGTCCTAGTCACCAGGACACGTGGTGCTGTTTCTGCTTGCCTTTGAAAACACTGTTAAATATATGTTTATACATATATATATATATCTGTTATGTGGTTATTTAATGGTTCGGCTTCTGATTAGGTGGAAATGGCCTGTTTTATATAGCCCCTTCTAGAGCTCTAGAGCCCCCCAAGGTGCATTACAACACATGAGTCATTCATACACTGGTGATGAGCTGCAATCTGTCTCCCTGCAGCAAAACGCTATTGAACCACCGCCATCTGCAGAAAAGGATCTCATGTTTTTGTGTTTCATGTTGGTGAGCTCATCTCCTCTCAGCTCTCACACATCACAGAATCAAGTTTTCACAACTCAGCGGACGGTCTAGTTCTAGTATAACTCCGGTCTTACTCGGACTATCAACAGAAATAAAAACGGGTGTCGTTTATAATCCCCATTTTAAACATAAATGTAAACCAAAGCTCAGAGAGGCGGAGTTTTGCTGCTGCGGCGTCCCAAAGGTGTGTTCTCTTTGGCCGGTTGCAGACAGGAGTCGTAGGTTTTCGAGTGCTTGTAGACTGTCGGAGGCTGATTTGGGTCGTGAGACGTCTCAAAAGGCTGTCGCAGAGTCGGGCAGACCGGACAGCCACCCGTTTATTTACACCATCTGGCTAAGCTGGCTGCAAACCACAGTGTGGTCCGGGCTTTAGAGCTACATGTTGCATCCCATATTTTCTTTTATCTACCTGTTGGACTCAGTTCTGTTTGACTTGAACCAACAAATAGATGGTGATGGGTAACGGGAAATGGTAATTCTCCAAGTAAATCAGTTAGTTTTATCAGTTTTTACAGATATTTCGCTAAAAGTTGAGCTAAAAGTTGTAGCTGACATTAATTCAGTTTAAATGCATTTATTGTGACACAAACATGAAGCAACCCTTCACTTATATATGAACACACCTAAAGACACTACAGTGTTACCTTGTGTGGTAGAGCTTCACATTATGAATGCTTAGTTGGTTGCAGAGTTGAACATTACCAGAAGATGTCAGCAAACTGCATAAGATGAAGCTATTGAGACGATAAAGAGGCGATGTGTAGTTTTTACCAACAATCTCTGGAAATATCCATAAAAATGTTGTTGAACATGAATGAAATCGGGCCCAGTAATGCTGGCGGCTTGGTACCACGTAACCATACAACTCCAGAGTAAAACACATGGATCTACGTCTCTAGGTGACACCACACGCACACACGTTTCCTGCTAGTACATGAGCCCGTGGGGACAAACACATTCACCGAAGCGGTTACAAAACCGTCGTCATTCATAAACGTTGTTTTACACGTTTACCTCTTGGCTCGTTGCCAGTGATGAAAGTGATGTGCTGAACGAGGTTGAGCGATCTGATGAAGTACTAGTTAAAAATGTGTGCTCCCAGGAACTTTGACCTTAATGGCCTTGCGTTGGTAAGGGCTTACTCCAACACAAAAACAGCTTCCTCGCGATAATCTGTGTACAGCTCGCTGTCGCCAGGGGAAAATGCACACCATCCCTTTAAGCTGTTTAAGGACGTTGGAGTATTTGAAAAAAAGGTGTTGATATTTAATATTCATTAAATCTGTTCATAGAATTCCTCTTTGATGTTTGTTTCATCATCACTTGTTTTCATCCTTCCTGCTCACGTGCAGCAGTCGTGTCTACACATGTCCCCACCTCTCCTAGGAAGTCCGGCGTCATGGGTATACCTCTGTGTGTGTGTGTGTGTGTGCGTGCATGCATGTGTGTGTGTGTATGTATGTGTGTGTGTGCGTGTGTGTGTGTGTGCGCGTGTGTGTGTATGCGTGTGTGTGTGTGTGTGTCTGTGTGTGTGTGTGCATGCGTGCGTGTGTGTGTGTGTGTGTGTGCGTGCGTGCGTGTGTGTGTGTGAGATATAGTCTTCTTGAATGGCTTCTTTCTGCAGGGAATCTGTTATCAGTAGAATCCTGTAATGTAATGTAATGTAATGTAGTGATTAGTTACCAGTTACCAGTTACCCAGAGGCATTTGCTGCTTCATCTTGTAACGACTTCCATTAAATGTCTGACCTGATGAACTAGATTAGAAAAGCTCTAACTTTTTATCTTCTCACTAATGAATAATGCCGCAGCGTGGAGTTGGATATTTGTCCAATGTGCTGTCTCCTTTCTCTGTTTGGTACTTCTACTTCTCCGTCTTGTGTTTCCTCATCCATCGTTTTGCTCTACTCCCTCTTTGCTGTTCAGAATCTCAACCTGAATCCAAACGATTCAGTCGTCTGTCAGACTCAGAGGGAGGTATGTAAGAATTATTCCTCTGAATCATGTAGAAAGGTATTGCACAGCCTTGAAAATATTAAAGGAGACATGTGACTTTTTATTAACAGTTATAATAGTTCTGTGATTTATAGAAAATGTTTTCAAGAAGCTTTTTGCATGAAACCAGTTTTACATGAAGCAGCTTCAGCACTCTATTCTCGACATGTTCAGCAGCTTCCAGGAAAACAAGCTTCTGCTCAGAGTCAGAAGGTTTTATTGCCACGTGTGTGAGAATCACATCAGGAAACAGCTGCGGTACTTGGTGCATGAAAAATAAATGATGAGCTAAATTATAATTAAGATATAAACACAATGAAGTTATAATAAAATAGGGTATCGATAATTAGAGAAGCAGCTACTTTATACAAGTCAGTGTAGGTACAGGTCAGAGCGGATCAGTTCAGGTGCAAACACAACACTAGGGTCATGTGACTGAAACAAAACAGCTGGAGTGGGCGGGTCCACGATTGTCCTCATGAGTCCGACTGCAGAGGGGAAGAAACTGTTTCTGTGGCGAGAGGTTCTGTCCACACCCCCCCTGATAGGCTGGGCCAGCATCATTCATTACAGAGTTCAGACAATTTGTTGGGCTGCATGGTGGTGCAGTGGTTAGCACTGTTGCCTCGCAGCAAGAAAGTTGCAGGTTCAAAACTCGGCTGCGGCCATTCTGCGTGGAGTTGCGTGTTCTCCCCATGCATGCGTGTGTTTCCTCCGGGTACTCCGGTTTCCCCCACAGAGCACAACACGGCCTATAGGTTATAAACTGTAAGTCGCTTTGGATAAAAGCGTCTGCATGATAAACATAATAGGACTAATCCTCATGGTGGCCTGGAGCGTCATCTTTCATTTTTTTTAGCTGCAGTGGCGGCTAGTGATTTTTAATTTTTTTGTCAGGTCGCATTTTTGCTGTTGGTCTTCAGATGCACTAACCACATACGACCACTAGGAGACACCAAATAGCTATTCTTATGCTCACGTCCACGGCACTTGCAGCAACAGAGCTGTTCCAAAAACATGCTTATTATTTACCAATGTATGAAACCTGCACACTTCATTAATGGGAAGAGGCTTGCCTACGCGATAAACTCCACATTTTCTACTTCAACCACAGATAATGACAACAAGCTGCTTAACTCATTCACTGCCAGTGACGACTAAAGTCGTCATTTGCATTTTTTTATTGTTTGAGCATCGGAACGAGCCCCCGCGCTGAGAGAACAAACATCTCAGCCCTGAAGCCGATCTTCATCCGCATACGTCACACGTCACATGATCAGGAAGCAGAGATCGTTTTGGGCCGTTCCTGTAAAAAAAAAGTGAGGCGCGACCCGGAAAAGCTTCTGCCGATCACAGTTCAACAACGGATTATGAAAGAACGGATAACGCTGGAAACACACGGATTCTTCCTGATGTAAGAGGAGAGTCTCCTCTTTGTTTCTGTTGTTTTGGCGTCGACATCATGCTAGCGCGCAACGTTCTGTGACTCTTAAATAACAGTAAAAACGGTGAGAAACGCTGGCAGCGAAGGCCGCTAGCGATCAGGAAACGGCTGGCAGTGAATGAGTTAATAAGAAAAAGTTGAATACACAGATCACACACACAAATCAATGCAAATTTAACAAAGTCTAAAGCGTAAATTCATTGTTATCTTTGCTGGTTTATGGTCATAATAATCCATGTTATATAAAAAATATTCCACTCCCGTCGTATAATCCAGTCTCCCAACGTCACCCTGAGCAGTGTGAACTGTGGGGAGGTTCCGGTTCCGAGGGAGCATCCTGACCTGAACTGAGACTCCGCCAGGTTTCGGTCGCAAACCTCTGCGACCAAAGGCTCTCCTATTCTTTGTATTGGAGGGGGGGGGGGGGGGGGGGGGTTCCAACACGCACACGCCAGTGATAGTCTAGGCAAAGATTGCTGCACCCGAAAGGTACATCAGAAGATGATTCAGTCTTGGTAAAAGTATTAGAGAACACTTTTAAACTACCTTTAAATGCAGATTATACACAGCACTTATAGTCTCTATGAGGTATAGGTCATTTAGTTTCATCTTCATGTTTTTTATTTCAAATATTTTGTGATTCTCATCTTCTTCTTCCTGTGAGCAGCCTCTATGGACGAGACACAACTGTTTAGTAGTATTTGAAGTACTTCATTGGGAGTTTCTACCTATAATACGTTATTTATATGTAAAATACTGGCGATTCTTTTGATTTAAAAAAGTGCTACAGAAGACGACTGCTGGATCTGTAATGGAAGCTCAGTCCATAGTTTAGGAGTTGCAACTGAAAAGGCTCGGTCACCCCGCATGTTCAGCCGTGATCGCGTGAGCAAGGACAAGTCCTCTGAACGAAGAGGAAACGTGAATGCAGCGTGTCTGCCAGATATGCTGGAGCCAAACCATTTAAAGCTTTAAAAACCAGTGAAAGAACTTTAAACTGAATCCTAACAGAAACAGGTGGCCGATGTAAAGCTGCCAACATCGGCAGAACGTGGTGAAACTTTCATTTGCCCTCCAAAAATCTCCCTGCAGCATTTTGGATACGTTGCAAACGGGCTAAGGCACCAAGGCTTACTTCCAACAGGATGGAGTTGCAATAGATCTGGAGGGAGCCACCACCAGTAGCGGTTTTAGGCACGGGCAGACAGGGCAGTTGCCCGGGGCGGCATTTTTTCATGACACAAAAGGGGTGCACAAGCGCTGAGTAAAAAAAAAAAAAAAGGAAATCTGCGCCGCACCGAGGTTTTCTATTATCTGTCATATGACAGTGTCTGGATTGGAAACAGCAAGTTGGCGCCCCCTGCAGCTGCAGGCGCTCCTGCTGACTGAGAACGTTCACGTGCTCCGTGTGTCTATGAAGAACAGGAAGGGGAGGGGTGCGGCGGGGGAATTCACCTCTGCGTCTTTCCCAAATGAAATGAGCGTGCAGGGGCTGAATCAACTGTATTAACATGGCTAAAGTCAATCACATCTTAACGTTCTTCCATATTTCATTCATAATATCATAAACACAGGCCTATCATTCTTTCAGGTTTCTCTGAATTGTGTGAAATGGCCGAATAAAAAAAGGAAAAACAAAACGATTTTGTAGTCACCCCCACATCAAGGTCAAATTGTTTAGTCCTGACTAAAGGAAACTTACTGAGTTAAGAGCCAAACAGAAAAGATGATCATAAAAAGGCTAAAACCACCAGGTGCCCCATTCAGGGGGGAAAAAAAGAAAAAAGAGGAGAAAGATAAAGGTATGTAGCTCTCATGATGCATGTTTTCAATTTTTTGAACCAGTTAACTGGGATTTTAACGGTTAAATTTGGTCAACTAATTGCTAACAGAGCTAATAGGGCTGAAATATTGAAACGAATATTCAAATGGTTCGAAAAAAGTCCTTGAATCGTTTTTTACTGATTCAAACTAGGATTTGTTAAATGCTCGCTGCAGCCTGTGGCCTGCCTGAACAACAACAAACACATGTTGATCATGTTCACATAATAATAAATAAAACAACTCTACAAGCTGAAGAAAACACCCCAGTCACCACTAACTATCCTGTTTATTTATTGCAGATGGCTGCACTGATTATTTTTTACATGATTTGTTCTGTAAAAGTTGGCATTTTTGTTAGTCTACAGTTTTTTATGTCAGTTTAAATTACAATTTCAGAGGCAATTCTAAAATATCATGGATCAGGATAAAGATCTATTGGAGATCTACCCCAACTTTTGGACTGCTCTGCCAGTCCCTGTGGCTCAAGTTGAGAGGAGCTTTTCAAAACTTGATCAAGTCATACCTGAGGTCACCTATGTTTCAGGGGCGGCTCACTAACCTGGCTCTGATTAGTATCAATCACTCGGGAGCAGATTTCATATGATAACATTATTGATGACGTTGCATCAAGGTTAGGTTTTAATTTTAGTTTGTGTTTTCTGTTCTAAGTGCAATGCTGTAGTGATTATCTTTATAGTTTGTTATGTGTGAAATATTTTTGCTATTTAGAATATTTATTATATATTATGTTCATATATTCTTAATATTTAGTTATTGTTTGTTTTTGTATATTTGATTCTATATATTTTGATACAGTATATAACGTATATTGCTTTACATTCTGACAACTTCATAGTAATTAATGTAAATATGTGCAGCTTAGAAAAATGAATGTTCAATAGTCGTTCTAATAAAACATGCCTGTTTGTAGAAAACATGCGTGTGTTCATGCAGGTGGGGTGGTGTGGTGGTGGTGGTGGGGGTATGGTTGGGGGTGGGGGGCGCTCAAAGGGGGCCTCGCCCGGGGAGTAATTCGATGTAGAACCGCCACTGGCTACCACCCCGTTTATGTGACCTCTAAGGCCTAGTCCACACGTAGCCGGGGTTTTTTAAAAACGAATATCCGCCCCTCCAAAAACTTGCATCCACACCACCTCGTTTTAAAACCAAACTCTGTCCACACGTACCCGGATAAATACGTTGTTAAGGACATGCCAGACCTGTAGGTCTTCCGCAAGGAGCAGTAATTCCACTTGCAAAAACAAACAAGCAGAAAGCGCTTGGACAACTGATGGATCGGGTAGTGACAGAGCGCAGCTCTGAAGGCTTCCATGCTGTCGGCTAGTGTAAACACAGGTCGCACACGTGATGTCAGCATTTTTTGTCGCGGAAAGTGACGTTGCGGACCTTAAAACTCCGGTTTTGTCCGTCCACACGCAGACACCCAAAACGGAGAAAACGTAGATCTTCACTTTGGCCGGAGTTTTTAAAAAGATCCGTTTTCATGTGGATGACAGGCCAAAACGTAGAAAAATATCTACGTTTTGGCAGATCCCCGGCTACGTGTGGACAGGGCCTAAAACAGAAGTCTCTCTATTCATTCCCAAAATAACAGCATAGTCCTTCAAGTTATTTATTACGATTGTTCAAGCTACCTGACAGAAGTTCTCCATTTTTTAATAGAGATGTAAATGAAAAAGTTAATTAAATAAAAAGTGAGGAACGTTCTGGATCTGTTTCTTCACATTCTGCATTATTTTTTATGTATGGAAAGTAAAGATCGGGACTCGGTATCTGCAGAATGTCAATCAAACGACTCGGACTTGAGGGCAAAAAGACCTGATCTGGACATCCATCATTTTGAACACGGACTATCGCAACAAAGTTTACACCGTTTTAATCGACAGCACCGCACATGAAGCGCTGAACAAGAACTTGACAATAGTAGTAAACTCAGAACCTCCACAGAGACAGGTCAATGAGAAAGACCATTGCACCATAGACATTATCCCTGAGAAGCCTCCCCATGTAAATGCAAACTCTGAGCATTTCTAAAGAAGGAACACCACTCAGACCCATTATCAGCATCAACATGTGTGGCTGTGGCTTGATCGCAGCGTATTTGGTATCCCGACTACAGTCACATGTGTGTCAACTTCAGGTTCTCAGTATGTTTAGGAAATTTTACCGTCACGACTGCTGACTGATTTCCACTGGAATGGTCATAATTGTGTGTTCATTATTGTTTTATGTAGACAGCAACCACAGCAGTGGCAGCAGTAGAGGAGAGCGTCTGAGTGCCAAGATGAGGTCACTCACCGTTTCCAATGAGCCTTACGAAGCCGACAGCCAAAAAGAACTCGGTGAGTTGCTGTTTTTTCTGATTTCATGCAAACAAAAATGGTTCCAACAATTAAATTCTCAACCAAACATGAGTGCTCCCACATTTTTGTTCTAAATTTAGTTTATTGTTTTGTTTTGAGTACGTGGACTTCAAACTGGTCCTGGATCAAAGCGGGAGACGTAGACGGGGACCTCCGTTGTTTGATTACTGAGACCAGCGGGATGCTGGTCTTCTCTACCTCGTCTAGAAACAGAGTTGGTTCGTTTCATATTGGGTGTACGTACAGGAATGAGGTCGGGCATGTCATTTGGTTCCACGCCTTTGAGTGATTTATAAATGATGCTAATTACGAACTCTTACAAGCTAATAAATCTCAAAGTACGTGACCGGCGTGGTTGAAACATGCATCATTACTTTTCATTTAAACTTCAGTACAACATGTGTGAACCAGGGCGTGAGGCAAAGCGGATTAGAAAATAGCGTTTTTGGCCCCGTTCACTTGCATTCATTTTTTTCTTCTTCCGGGGACCCGTGAGCCGACCAGGAAGGGAGGAGACTAATTACCCCCAAATTCCACTACCTCCGCTCCGCTCCGGCACGAACTCCGGAGCAAAATCGGTCCCGTTGTAGTCAATCAGAGCAATTCCACTACTGCGGCCGTGCTCCACCAGTGCGGCGAAGTGCGCCGCCCTCTGTCCCGGCGTCCGGCAAAAATAGGATTGATTCTATTTTTGCCGGACGCCGGAGCAGGAATCACAACCGCCCAACAGGAAAAGGAGCGGGCACAATTTCCGTTTTTCACAATAAATCGATAAACAAAAGGCGTTTTTTGTTTCATATGCACAGGTTTAACAACTTTTAACAACTATCAATGGCGGCTGAAGTTTAAATGCACAAAAGTAAGCCATAAATACAGTTTCCACTATCAAAGTAGTCACGCTTTGTTGATCCAAACACTGCTGATCTCTCAACACACATGATGGGCAGATTAAACAGTTCATGCCGATGCTTCTCCCACACAACGGGTGTTTGGATCTAACTTCCGCGTTTATTGCTCAGACTGTATCGCAAGATCTCGAAAATCCCGCGCATGCTTGTTTGCCCCCCCTCAGGTCTCCGCACCGGAGCGGAGCCGTTGTAGAGCGGGTACCAGTAAAAATTGAGTTTGGAAGCGAGCGGCTGCGGAAGGCGGGGGCGGAGCGGAGGTAGTGGAATTTGGGGTTAGGCTCTCTATGCCTAAAAGCAATAAAAGTAAATAAAAACATTCCAAGAATATTACCAGAAAAATGAGAACGAAACCAAAAGAGTACATAAAAGTACAACATTAACTAGATTTTTAATATTGCTTTGATGGTTGTTTAATATCTAGTGGGAGTTTGTTCCACAGTGTTGGGGCCAGTACTACAAAGGCTCGCTCCCCTCAAGACCTGCAGTTAAACCTCGCCTCGAACAACAAATCCTTCTCTGCAGAGCGGAGAGGTCGAGCAGGAACATACTTTATTAAGATAAGGTGGCGCTGTTCTGGCAGGCGCCTGGAAAACATAAGTCAGGAGTTTCATTTCACTGCTATGCTTCACAGGCAACCACTGCAGAGCATGAAGGACTGGAGACATGGCCCCTTTACCCCATAGATGAACCTGGCTGCAGCATGTTGCACCATCTGTGATGTAGAAATTGCAGATCTTGGAAACTGCTCAGCAAAAGTAACTTTATGAAGATAAAGTGCAAACTAATGTTCATAGTTGGTGCAGGAAATATGAAACTTCTACGGTGAAAGGTTTAGGTCTCGAATAAACGTGGTGTAAATATCTTAGGTCGTCTTAAACTGACAAACTGAAGCTCATCACATTCCTTCATGGAAAAATCAGAAGAGCAGAGAAAGCCTTGAATTTTAGTAGATTTATTTTGTAAGCCAGGTTTACCGTCAGAACAAACACTTCAGTCGCATACGACTTTTTTGAGTGCACCTAATCAGTAACTTCCTAATCCAAATATTTAATTAGCCAATCACGTGGCAGCATTTACTCTTCTAGGTGTGATGAAGACAACTGAAGTTTAAACTGAGCATCAGATCTGAAGAAGCGATTTAAGGGAGTTTGAGAGTAATATGGTTGTTGGTACCAGACAACTGCACTGAATATTTCAGAACCAGGGGATCCATTAGGATTTTAACCCGCAACCATCGATGGTTTGTATCAATATGGATCTCTGACACCACTAAAGGCTATGTTTTAGTGTTGTGATGCACGTCTTGTGCTTTTCCTCTGATTGCTGTTTAGATGCTTCCTACATGGACCCACTGGGGCCTCAGATAGAGCGACCAAAGACTGGCGCTAAGAAGCGTGTGGATGATGATGATGACTTTGGAGATGAAGAGCTGGGGGATGACCTGCTGCCAGAGTAGATGCATCAAACCTTTTTTAAAGTATGTTTTTGTTGGACCAAATATTTTGTACACATGACCTTAACTTGTGTCAAGTTGTAAATCTAATCGTTCCACATGAGTCGTATTTAAAGTGTCACATCGTCAGCTTTCTATTGTAAAGGCAAAAATAATATCCGTACATGATGTGAAAATCATGCTGCCACGAGTCTGACTGTAACAACGTGTGCGGTCTGCTGTGTGTGTTTCAGTCTCGACGACGGCCTGGTGTCAGAAGGTCACGGAGGTCGTTCCTCAGGAGTCTAAAAACCCTCAACAACCTGTTGGCACTCCAACAGAGGAGACCACCACCACATTTGTTCCAGAAGAGATGCCACCTCTTGAAGGTGACGACGATGCTTCATGAATGAAACGGACTTCACCACACTTCAAACCCTGCTTCAGCACTAGTTTATCCCCTAAAAGTGCAGGAACTGTAAATGAAATCGTTCCTGTGGTGTGGAGGACCAGAACCGTACACTATTCCTTCTAAGAAAAACGTTTATTTTTTTATTTTGCTGTGAAATTACAAAAGTGACTTTTTTTCTAGTACTGTTGCTTCGATGTACATGTTTGTGGTAAATGTTCGGACATGACCGTGTTGGGGTGTATAGTCTGACGTCTGGAGGGAGAGGACCGTTGGGTTGTTTTTGCCTGAGTTCAGGCCTGCCTGTGCAACAAGTCTTGTTCTTTTGCAGAAAATAAAGCTGTTTGTAAAAAAATAATAAAATAAAATAAAACTAAAAGAGCAAAAGTCACCTTTTCTAATTTTGCTTGGATGAGCTGTTGTTGGTATAATTTCAAACAGCAGCTTTTATTTGAACATCGTCGATTTTGCTGAATATTTTAAAGGCTTGAAATTCTAAATGATCTTGATTTTATACAATGTTCTTGTGTTTTCTGTTAAAACGTTCCTTTTATTTCATATTAGAACTGTGAGCTTTGCATTTTTCTGTTTCTAAGAAACCTTTAAGACGTGGCTGCAGGGCGGATCAAAGCCAGTCCACTTCCTGGCTCATCCCTTGAGTTAGGAACCTTTTTTCTGCTTGAATGATTCAGAGGTCAGAGTTCAGTACGAACTGAAAATCTATTTCTCTGAAAAAGTTCAGAAACTGGGTAAAAATTCTGCCTGGATTTATACAACACCTCAGAAAGGTCTCGAGAACGTCTGGAGAATGTATCGAGAACATCCGGGGAATGTCTGGAGAACGTCTGCAGAGCTGCTGATCCTTCTGACCAGTCAAAAACAGTCATTTACTGTATTCCCGCACCGTGCACTTTATGAAAGACAACATTAAGTAAAGAATGAAGGATCCATTGATTTGACTAAAAACCTCCCGAGAAACACGTGCAGGAACCAGGATCTCCATTAGACCCCACATTATTGAGATCCAGTTTATTTGAAATTTAGGGAATTTCCCCAAAAAGGCTTTGGACTGATGGGAACGACTTCCTGTGTCCAAAGTTTTATAAATGAAAGAGCTGGTGTTCGAAGGGGGGGCTGGTTTTGGTGTGTGTGTGTGTGTGTGTGTGTGTGTGTGTGTGTGTGTGTGTGTGTGTGTGTGTGTGTGTGTGTGTGTGTGTGTGTGTGTGTGTGTGTGTGTGTGTGTGTGTGTGTGTGTGTGTGTGTGTGTGTGTGTGTGTGTGTGTGTGCGCGCTCTGTCTTCTCCACCCCCAGTGAGTCGTGGAGGATGGCTGCTTATACTGGGCCAGGATTCTCTGGAGGTTTCTTCCTGTTAAAAGGGAGTTTTCCTCTCCACTGTCGCTGCATGCTTGCTTAGTATGAGAATTGCTGTAAAGACTCTGACACTAGTCAGTGACTTGATGCAACCTGCTGGGGTTTTTTTCCCTCCACCTGAACCAATCCTCATGTTGCCCTCTGATCTCTATTAAGGTAGTGCGACTCGGGTTGTGAATGACCACAGTCACCAGTTCTTGTCATGTGTGTTGCCCATGTATGTCTGATCTCTGAGTTGTGGGTACTGAAACTCTAATTTCCCTCTGGGATTAATAAAGTATCTTTGATTTGATTCCTTATGTAGGAAACTTTTTTCTGATGGGCTTAATGACCCGACCTGTGTTGGAATGAAGGTCCTCGAGACGGCTCTTGTTGTGATTTGGCGCTTTATAAATAAACTTGAATTGAGTTTTTCTCCCTCATTGGACAGTCCAGGCCAAAAGTTTGGACACACCTTCTGATTCAATGTGTTGTCTTTATTTTCATGAACATTTACATCGGGAGAGTGTCACTGAAGGCATCAGAACTATGAATGAACACATGTGGAGTTATGTACTTAACCAGAAAAGGTGAACAAACTGAAAACATGCTTCAAAAAAGCCTCCCTTTGCTCTGGTTACTGCTTTGCACACTCTTGGGATTCTCTCGATGAACTTCAAGATGTAGTCAACTTAAATAGTCTTCCAACAGACCACCTCTGCCATCTCCTACCACATGTGTCAGACACGAGGCCCGCAGGCCAGATGTGGCCCACGAGAGATTCAAGTGTCTTAAAATTAGTCTATGCCGCTTCAGCAGTGTTGCCAACTTAGCGACTTTGTCGCCGTTTCTAACGACTTTCTTTCTTTATTTTTTTTTTTTTTCAACAAAAAAAAGCGCCTAGCGACAAATCTGGTGACATCTCTGACCCCCGTCAGCTACTTTGACTACAACTTTGTAGCCGACTTTACCTGCAGATTAGAGATGCATCTGAAGCGACAGGACCGTCCTTCCAGAGGATCAGAAGGAAAATGATCTGCGCATGTGCGTGCAAGCAGCGTCGCTCTCGCACATGGCTCACCACCTGTGGTGCATTCAAGGAACATTGGAACTCTATGATGAGTTCATTAACGTAGCACATTTAAAACTTTTATAAAAAACAGAATGATACTGTAAGACAAACACCTGAGGTCATTGGCAGTTAGCGTGTAACGTTTCTGAATACTTAATACGGCCTGCTTCTTTTTACACAAAAGTACTAAAAGCAACAAAACCAAATAAAAAAAATACATATATTGTCTATTAAGTAACGTGAAATCAGCATGTGTCATTCATCCTGAAAGTTCCCAGATGTTGTACACTTCTCCTGTGTTTGACTTCCTCTCTCTCCCGACTGAGCAACTAAGGTTCTGGGAGCATTTTTGCAGCTTTTGGACATTCAGCTGTTTCTAAAACCTTCAGTGAGTCGTTAGCAAAAAAGTCTTTTAAGATGTTAAAATGTGATGACTAAAATATTTCAGAGAGTAAATAAATTAATTAATTAATGATTGATTAATCCTGGTTAGTTGTGTTGAAATTATGCAAAGTCTGAGGAAAGTCATCCTGTGAAAATGTTCAGAAGAAAGCGGTTCTCCTGAAAAACTGCAGCCGGATTTAAGACGTGGGTTTTAGCAGCAGAAAGTGTTCCTCCTTCCACCTAAACTCCCTGATCTGCTGCTTCTGTCTGACAGGTGCAACCAGCTCAGTTCATCATTGTGACGCAGCTGCTTCAATAAACAAGTCTACTGATTTGTGTCGCACAGCCTGACTCAGTCTAACTTATTTGATTAGCAAAACCAACCAAAAGAAGAACATTTTTGCATTAACTTTGTAGAAATCCTGCTGATTTGAAATGAGTTAGTGCGACAGTGGGAGTGATGTTTTAAAGCTCCTGATCAACACAAAGGTCACCGGGGTTAAACTGAAATCTGTATCCTGGATAAGAAAGTTAAATGTAATAAACCAACGTCTACAAGGCTGTGCCAAAAGGAGTGGTCATCGTGTCTGAAAGGGAAATAGTTTGCATTTCTAAACCTGAGGAAGCATCCTGGATCCTGCCTAATCCCATACTTTACTTAGCTAAGACCTTCTTTCCTGCTTTTCTTTCTTCATATTACTTTAACCCTGTGACTCCCTTGGCACACCAAAGTTTTCTCCATATATTCCTTTTAAGTTGAATTTAACATGAACGTAACGTCCCCTTGGTCCATCCATCCATTTTCTGATTCCGCTTTGTCCATGTAGGGTCGCGGGGGGGGGGGGGGGGGGGGGGGGGGGGCTGGTGCCTATCTCCAACGGGCAATCAGGCAGGGTACACCATGAACAGAGAGCCAGTCCATCACAGTCCCCTTGGTCCATGAAGTAAAATAATAAAGTTGGGCTAAACTTCAAGAGGATGACCCAGCAGCACCATCTCTTTTTCCCATTCGGAGCTCTCACCACCTCCCAGTAAACTCCTTGTGTCCTGCAGAAGCAGCAGAGCCCTGATCAGGAAGCAAACTTGGGAACGTTTGGAATTTGATTTCAATTTTTCAATTTTATTCATAAAGTGCCAAATCACGACAAGAGTCGTCTCAAGGCACTTCATTTAATTCTCGTTTTGGGACATTTGTTACAAACTCTCCCCTGGATGCACCACAAGGTTTACATTTAGCTGCTGCCAGTGATGCTTATGAAGACCTTTATGTTGACTCAAGAGTTCAGGGCAACTGTTGTCACGGTCTGCCCCAATCAGCAGGAGAGGAGACCTGGCAGTCAGCTGTTTGTGTTGCATGTGGGCGTGGCGACGAGCTCCAGCTGATCCTGATCCTGCTAATCAGAGGGCCAGGGGATTTAAGGAGCGGTGTGACTCAACTCCAGTGCTGGAACAAGCGGTTGCCATCAGAGTGTTAGAAATGTATTTAAGTGAGCACAAAGATGCTGTCCAAACTTCTACTGATGGATCTAAAGAAACTACATTTCATAGAGCTGGTTTTGGGGTTTTTATTGTCGAGCCACAAGTTAGATCAAGTGTTTGTGTGACAGCAGTGTTTCCCTAGGATTATGACACGTCTCACCTTTATGTTAATATTGTTTGATGTACTCCACTTTGAACTGCACTAATCCAGCAACTGCTGCATTTTAATAACTAGTTTTAAAGGTGAATACACCAATATTTGCACAAGAATAATTTTAGTTTTCAACTCTCAGTGACACACTTTGCAGGGGGGGTTGGTATTTAATTTTCCTTGGCGTCTGGAAAAACATCTCCTTCTGCCCCCCCTTTATTTTGGTCCAAGACCATTACTGGGCTGGCCCTGTTAAACACCTTCTACACCCCTGCTTAGTAGACTTAATGAAGTATTTTTAAGCCAGTATAAAAATGAATGAAACACAAATTTACATATTTGGCATTATTGACCAATATCTTTGATTTGATTTATTTGTTGAGAACATCAAGATGCATTACAGTGAACATTATAATAAAGTACATGTTTCTAGTGCAGAGTGGAGACAACCCATAGAAGCACTGGTCTGATCTCATTTCAGAGAAAAGTAGAACAGGTCAGATGCACCTAATAAATAAAATTACTAACATAAACTCAGGAATCTGTTTCTTTGCTTCATTGTTCTGGTGCTGAAAACATCACTAATGCGGATCAAAGATACACAGATGAATGCACCTCTTATTTATTATTTGGAAATGAGTGGGTGTTGTTTACATCAATACATTATTTTAAATCTGAAATTGATATGGATTGATCAGAAGTTGCTATGTGTATTGTTTATCTGAAAACTATGTACAGAGCAGCCTCAGAACTGAGATTAAATGTTTTTGATCACAATAGTAAAGGAACTATTACAGAACAAGTTTTTCAGTAAAATCAGAACATTAATATTTAAGTGCATGAATTAATGCATCTGAACTCATGCAGTAGGAACTAGGAAATATGAAATACTAGAACCATTTTATTTTAATTTGATTAAACTGATTTTTTCCTAACGTTGTTGGAATTTTCCCCACACACAGTTAAACAATGTTGATTAAGGTGTGTGTGTGTGAGAGAGAGGGAGAGAGACTTAAAATAATTTAAAAAAAACCCGACCGGAGCGGAGGCAGTGACCGTCGAATGCACGAGCCGTTTTCAACTCTGTCTTGTCAAATGCACCACGTAAGTTACAAAAAAGTAACTTTAAATATTCAACCGAAAAAGAGCCGAGCTGAAGAAAACCTAGGGAGTTCTGAAGAAACGTGAGCAACAGTGAAGCAATCACAGAGAGATCCGTGTGTGTGTGTGTGTGTGTGTGTGTGTGTGTGTGTGTGTGTGTGTGTGTGTGTGTGTGTGTGTGTGTGTGTGTGTGTGTGTGTGTGTGTGTGTGTGTGTGGATGCCTGGGCCGAGCTGACTGAGCTCCCGGCTGCAGAGTTTTGTGTGTAGGGAGGGGCGCGTGCTCTATGTGACTGGCCAATCACAGATCGTGAAGACAGTCAGTTACCCAATGAGGATTTTCCTTCAGCACGATTACAGATATTTACGAGTTTTACTCGTTTAATGCTCGTATTCGTCAAAAATGCTTTATCCGTCCGCTCATCCCTAGCTGTAACCACCCTGCCCTGCCTCCTCCTCCTTGCTGCCTGCCAGCTGTGAACACAAGCAGCAACAACAGTAGTTCCTGCTGCTTCTTCGGGAAACGGCACACAAAAAAAAACAAATCAATAAAACTTGGGATCTCGTGGGCGTGGCGGTGGGATTTCAGCCGTGGCGGGCCGACACGGCTACGCCTATGTAAAGGAAACACTGGACAGATAAATTGTCTGTTTTTTCTGTTGAACTTTTGGCTATTTTGTGGGCAATGAGGTGGATAGTGGTGCATAAACCATCTCACTCTGATAGGTAACAACCGATTATCAAACAGAGTTACCTCACTCCAAAGGGTTCTGCTTGAGGTGCTTATTTACATTTGAATGTTTGCTTCAGGTACTTGTGTTCTATTATCGAGGCCAAACCAGCCAAACTGGGGGACCTGCCCTGGCTAAGAGCTTAGGCAGGAACGACTCTCCATCCCGCCCAGGCCCAGAGACTCGTTGAGCTATTATCTGAAGAATCCCTTTTGTCTTCTGTGGATTCCTAAGGCCAAGGGAGTTTTTGAGGAACGTATGGGTGTGTGTGTTTTTGCCAATAAATACTCTCCGGAGTTTTCAACTCAGGGTGAGAGGAAAATGGTTACACGACTGGTGTGGATTCAACTCCTCACTGGAGGCATCTCATGTGCCTGCCTGCTTCAAGATCTCCACCATAGTCCCTGTCCCCAAGAAACCAAGAATCACTGGACTAAATGACTACAGACCTGTGGCTCTGACATCTGTGGTCATGAAGTCATTTGAGCACCTAGTTCTCCCCACCTCAAGACCCTCACAGCCCCCCTCCT